CCAAAACACATGCGTGTAGTTTCATTAAATAAGGCCCATTAATGTAGAAAAATAGAAAATATTAATTTGAGGGTAACATTAGGAAACTACTATTGCATTTAATCAAGTGTCACAGACTATATGTATACATAAACCGAGGTAGAATTTTTAAAATTGTTGTCTATCTCAATTAACTTAAAATCAACGGAATCGATATTAATTAAATCTTCGCTATTTCGTTCCGTATTCAGATGCATATATTACAATTTTTCAGACAATCAAACCCTTTAAGAATAATGTAAAAATCGTGTGATTTCTCTCATATACCGTGTGTGCAATTGATGCTGGAATCTACAAGAAGATTTCGGTTTTTTTCGGTCCGTTTTGACAAGGATCGTCATAGTAACCGTGAAGCATGATCGTTGAGTGAAATGGGGGCAAAATGATTTGCGGTAGTGCTCGATCACGGTTTATCGATGACGAGGCGACCCGGGGGAGTTGCTCGGTGGATGTTTCAGCGAAAGGGGTGTGGCAGGGCGTTATTTCGAGGGTTGGCACGCCGCATGCCGGCGATAAGGACTGACCCACATTCCCCGCGGATACGTCTCTGCCAGGATATCGAGCCTCCTGCAGCCGCCCCCCTTTTCCGATCGAAAACTCTTGTCCGTAAGAGGCTACTACGGGTCTACTTAAAACAACGAGGTCGAAATGCCGGAAAATCGCTAATTGCTGACTCGTCGCGACAACGTGATTTTAACGAGATCTCCGTGACTGCCCTTTTCACCTTTTTATATGTATAGACGTCGTCACTCTTCGTTACGAACTAACGCAACCCAGGTCCAGTTACCCACTTTCCTCGTTGGCGGCGCGCCTGTCTTTTTCCTACAATATGGCGGCAATCGTAAATACATATTTCACAATATCTTATCAGATATCACGACTCCCGTAACAATATTTTGTACACATAAGCGATTAAAGAATATAAGCTGAAATGTTGGTCAACCAGTCCCAATGGTCTCCCCTAGTTAATATAGGTGCTGGCAACGATGGCTTGCGATCTATTTTTATTAAATTTTGTCATTTTATCTCGTTGATTGTCATGCCACAGACGAGGTATATGAATAGACCTTTCACGTAATGTAATTTCTCGGCCGGAGTTTCTGGGGTCCCGGGACCCCATTACCATTTTCGTGTCACTCGCAACGTTATCAACAGATTCAGAAATTAACACAAGAGGAAGTGAGACAGAAAATAAAATTACATAAATTTTATTATTTTTTAACGGAATTAAAGCTGTAGGGTCCATCATTGGACATTAATCGATTAATTTCATTGGAGAAATCAATCGATTAAGAGTATTTAAAAATTTCAAGATTATTAAAATTCCTAAGGATGTATTTCATTGATACGTACACCGCAAATTCTCCATTTTTTATTTTTGTAAGCAATCGTTGGGGCGACCGTCGCAGTTGGGCGACGCGACGGATGTTTAGGTTATAAGATAAGAGGTGTCGATCCCGAAAAGGGAGGAGAGCGGAACGATCCCGAGGAGAAACGAGCGTTCTGCAGGCAGTCAAATAAAACCTCTTAAGAAAGAAGCATCTCACCGCCCTTTAGTTTTCTTCACCTTTTTGTCCGCTATATTTTAAATTGTAATACATCATTTATTAAAAAAATAACTCGGCAGAAACGTATTTGCGACTCGAAATCAGTTTAATCAGACTGTGCATCGGGGCCCCGGAAACTCCTCATTCCTCGCTTTCGCACACTATGCCCAATTGCGTGTACGTGAGCTCGTTGAGTTTCGGAAGAGCCGAGAAGAACAGGCTGATACTCGCTTTCCTTCTCGCTCTTGCATCGCTTACGTCGCTTACGTTTCTCGAAAGCAAGCCTGCTGGCATCGCCACCCGTTCGAATCGTCAGTAAACGACAAAAGCCATCGTGACTGACAGACCTTACATTTCTCGAAATCGGACCTGGGCGCTTTTTGAAGATTCATTGACTTTCCATACGAAGCGACCATGCGTTATATACATATACATGTTATACATGCTAGGAACTATAAGTTGTATAACTTTCGTCGTATATCTACTTTCTAATAACATGGGAAAATTTTAAAATATAAAAAAATGTAAGAATACTGTAGAATTTTTGCAATGGAGAATTATTGAAGGAAAATGAATTGATTATATACATATGTATATATCGGACACATCCCTCGCAAACACGCCGCAAACATTAATGAGAACAAAACTGCAAATCTGTCCTTTTTTAAAACCCCGCAACTGATCTTTGACTCGGAACTCGTCCTCTTCATTTAGCAATTATAATAAACGTAGACTCATTAAAATTCGTAAAAATAACAAAGTTATAGCCATTTAGAGGGAAGAGTACCCAACGGTTAATAATCATACCAGAAATTTTAAATGAGTTTTTCTCGAAACCATATTTTCGAAATTGGCTGACATGATATCACAAATTCATATTGAATAATGGATTTGAAATTTATAGAGACATGCCTGTATGTTAGAAATTTTTCCTTTGACGGTTCTGGGGTAAGTCCTGTGCCGTTCCTCACAGTGCTCTTACCGGAAGGTCCCACGCCTTCCCCACTCCGTGGCCAGATCCTTCAGGACAAAGTCTTCATTTTTTCCAGCAGTACGACGTCAGGTCGTCTGCCTCTTTTAACTACTCTCTCTCTATTCATAAACAATCAATGCCTCGACACGCGCTACCTGGAGACCCAACGCGGTCGTCCGCTATCGCGTCACCCGTTGCCAGGCCTGTTTAGTCTCATTCGCTCTTTAGGCCGCATGCACCCCAAAACTCTGTCATAAATGTATCGTAGACTGAGCGTCCTTCGGTGGCCCTTACATTCGACTCTCTTGGAAAATACATTGTCGCTAGCGTTTCTGGAAAACAAAAGCCGATCCCCTATTTCGGGGGAATGTCCACGCGTCGCGTCCAACCATTGTTGCCGTGGCGAAATCGACTTTTTTGCCTTCGCCTTCGAAAAAGATTAAGCAAAAGAGTTTTCTTCATTGAAAGAACAAAAATTTTCCAGTCCTTTGTTTTCAGTAGGGGCGATCTCAACTTCCATTCATTTTCATATGATTGATTTTAATGAGTCAGCGTTTTTTTAAATTGCTAAACAAAGAGGACAAATAGGACAGTATTCTCAAATATTTTCAGATTTAAAAATTTAAAATTACAGTGAAATTTATTCGGTTGTTTAGACCCAATAGTATTAATAGTATAAATATATGAACGCACGTTCATAAGCATAGTAAAAAAATGTCTTTTTTTTAATAGTTAAAATATGATCAAGGGGTCCTAAAACGTGTATTTCCGTAAAAAAAATTTTTGTTTCATTATGGTATTTTGCTTATACATTGTATACGCCTGCATAGGCCGGAAAGTCAAAAATGCCTGGGCAGTCGAGAATCTCGGCTCAAGATTATGCGAGATCGAATTTCGGCTGTGTTAAGAGCAAGAAGGATAGACTGACATTCGCCGCCTTTCTCGAATCCTCGAAGAGATACGAAACGCCAGAACTCATATACAACGAGGTTGGCATTAGTGTGTGTAAGTGGTGGGGCAGCTCCCTTTGGGCACGGGTCTGCCATCTGATAATACTGCACTGTCTTTTTCAATTCCCCCCATAGTCAACTCACATGTATTTACGCACACACTGCAGCTGGCTGCCCATCAATACTAATTCAGTGCCTAGTTTTTCAACTGACCGCCATCCATGAGAAGAGACCGCTAAAATCACCTCCGAATTTTCAGGTCGGTATGGCAGTCAGATTCGGCCGCGAAAGTGCATAAGGTGAAAGGTCTATTCATATATCTCGTCTGTGGTCATGCCATCCATATATGGGTAACAGAACTTAACACTTGGGATCTGGACAAATTAATTTTCACAGTGAAATGTTAACTGAATAAATCTGGATAGGACTAAAATTGTATTAAAGTTAGAAAAATAAATATTACGACAAATGTTAGGTTAAGAAGTTTCCAATTGAGAAATAGATTTATCAATGGACGATCGAAGGATGAGTGGGAAATTATACGAGTCGCGAAACCGCGTACCATTCGAATCTCGAAATCGAACTGCCTTTATAATTCTACGCTACGGGCCGTTTCAATTAACGTTTTATTCCGCCCCCGTTCGTTTAAAAGGATTTCACGGTTCGCGCGTTTATAGGCGGCCCAGAGCAATGTCGACAATTTTACGAACACTCGCTTATGGATCACCGATCCGTGAACGTTTTGAAAAAATTTTACAAACGCATCTCTCGACGTACTGTGCATATTACAAGTGCAAAAGGAGCTTTACAGGTGTGACTATCGATAAAAAAAATTCGTAAAAGTTAGGAGTGGCAATAAAATGAAATTTTTTGTGGATTTATAAGTCGTGAATTTTGAATTTTCGAAAAGATCGAAATCTGGGGATCGTTAAGTTAAAACCTCTAACTAGCGAGCGTTTCCTCGTAAAAGCACGGCGAAATAAGAACCCGTCTTGATTTTAAAGGAAGATAGAATCTCTTTCCGGCGGTTCCACTCGCTTCGCGAGGAAATTCGCTTAACAAGGTATCGCAATTAAGTTCTCGACGGAGAGTGAAACACTTTCAGAAGCTTCTCGAGCCGTGCTTTGAAGATCGAGGAAATGGAACATCGGTCAGATTGGTACTCGTTCCGATAAATTCATTAGTAATGGTGCACATTGACGGATCTCTATGTTTCTGCTGCTTAAATCGAGAAAGATAGTATTTACTTATTTATATGTGAAAAATGCAGAAACTTTATACGCAAAAGACATTCTAATCAAGCTTGTATGGATTGTTATAAATAAACAGTTACAAGAAAATATATTGCATTCTTACAATGAAAGGTATTAACAAAAATGAAAAAATAAATAAAAATCATAAAATTAAGAATAAGAATTTTTTAATTCCTCAGGAGGTGGGGGAATAACAATTAAACTAGTAATTCATTACTGTTTCATATTTTCTGTGCAGGTAGTGACTCCACAAAAATGCGGCGATGTGTACCTTTACGATCTTCCAGCGAGCCGGGGAAGTCCTGCGCCGCCATCGAGACACGATTCACCCTTGAACTCAAACAACGACCAGTTACATAACACAGGTACGCGACAACCCTTCCGCCAACCCTTGCACGATTCATTCACAAAGACGTAACGCGCGATCCCTTGAAACTTTCAATGGAAGATCCGTATCAAGAGGGTATTCTACTCCAGAGTTTCATTCTTTTGTCTTTTTTACGGATTTTCTTTTAGAAGAAAAGTATAAGTTTCTTAATTTCGACATTTTGCATATGGATTTATTTAAAAATCCTAATTGAACAAAGTTCCTTTGAAAAAAATTCTCCTACTTATCTGCTTACATGAAATGAAAAAATCGAAATGATTCTTGATTAGTATGATCGTGATTATGGCGTGAACCAAGATTATAAAAAAGAATAATGTCTTTTTTACGGATTTTCTTTTAGACGAAAAGTATAAGTTTCTTAATTTCGACATTTTGCATATGGATTTATTTAAAAATCCCAATTGAATTATACTATGTCATTGAACAAAGTTCCTTTGAAAAAAATTCTCCTACTTATCTGCTTACATGAAATGAAAAAATCGAAATGATTCTTGATTAGTATGATCGTGATTATGGCGTGAACCAAGATTATAAAAAAGAATAATGGAAATTTACAAAATGGTGGCACTTCGAATTTTGAATATTGATTTTGTTTACTTTTAACCATGCTCTTTCTAATTTTATATTGTTCCATGCTTCTTATGGTAGTTAAAGGTCGTTCAGACACTGCAACAGGATATTCCGCTCCTCGAGCTCCTCGCACAAAAGCTCATATCCGGTGGCTACGCTGTCCGCGCCATATTCCTCAGGACCCCCTCCATTTCTTTTTGCATCAAGAACCATTTACACAGTTTAAACGAGTACTTAGGGTCATTATCTTGCTGCATAATAAAATTTATGCCTATTAACCACCGGCCCGATGGTACAGCGTGTTCCTCGAGTCTTTATTTTCCATTACACAGGGTGCCCCTGTAATCGTGGTTCTACGTGAAAAAATAAGTCGTAAATGTAGAAGAACATTTTCTCAAAAAATAGTTTCTTTCAGAGATAATCGATTCTGAAAAGTAAAAAAGTTATTTTTATTATTTTTTAATTTTTAATTAGAATTATCTGTTGTCCGGAATAATTCTAGTTTTCTCAAAAATTCAACTTCTCTGCTATTTGTTTTCCGTTATATTTTCTGATACAACTTTTTCTTCCACACATTTTATTTTACTTTAAACAATTGTTATATTTCTACTGTTTATATTATATTGTTTATATCTCCTACCAATTTTCATTGAAAGTTGTTAAAATATTTGAACACATTGAATTCTTTCAAGTTTGATCAAATACTTGACTCGGTTTGAAAAAATGAGTTTTGCCTTGGTTTGAATTTCAAGTATTTGGAGACTCGAGGTAAAACTCGCACGAAACTATATTCGAATTCTACCGCTCGAGTCGTTAGCTTTCTCGAGTTTCCGGTCTGTGGCCTTCCTCACTCGCCAGCAGAGGGCAACATTTTCTCGCAAGCACTCGACCGACCATTCGTTCCTATATATGAGCCGTTTATTTTGAAAGTGGCCTAACTCCATTTTTCAATTTTTTCCCGGTTACCATGGTTACATGTACAACTTCATGTTATTTATCGGTAAAGCATTTCAGGTTGCTTATATTCCGAGCAAATATGATGATTCTTGACACGTAAGTTTTCAGAGTTAGTTCAATAATTGAACCGTGTAGTTTGAATGTGGCCTAACTCCATTTATACTTGAATCAAGATATTTAATGTTTACATGTACGTTTGGGATGATACTATTGCATCCAGAGGTGCTCAAGAAATAGTTTCATGCATCCTAAAACATGTTAAAAATTTAAGAAAAGACACATTATAGCTTACAGTGACATGTGCGCAGGGCAAAATAGAAACATTAAAGTAGCTTTAATGTGGTTAAAAATTGTATAGATCACAAATTTTTAATATCAGGACATTTTGGCGTGGTAGAAATGTCATTAAAAAAAAATAATTTACTGTTCGTTCCCTGGGATTATTACAAGATTATTAAAAAGTGTCGGAAAGGTAATAATTTTATTGCAAATGAAACGAGACAAGAAGATTTTGTATCAACAAAATTATTAGAAGATGCAATTTTTAAAAGGGTAAAGAATTCTGACGGAGAATCGATAAACTGGTTAAAAATATGTTGGATGCGTTTTGTCAGGAATGAACCGTATAAAATTTTCTATAAGACATCGATGAATGAGAATGAAAATTTTAAAGTCCTGAATTTATTACCACGTCGGGGTAGACCAAGAAAGTTTGAAAATATTGTATCGACACCACTGTAGAAAAATAACAGACAAATTACAACAGCAAAATTCAAGGACATAACTGACCTATTACGATACATACCAACGGAACATCATGATTTCTTCAAATCCCTTTCACACGCACAAAATGTAGACGAGTAGTAAATTGTTTTGTAATAAATTTATGTTTGTAATTTTGTACGTTATGTAATAATTGCCACTATTTTAATAGGAACTATAAATTTAACACCCTTAGATACACTTAAATAGTATGACTCGTTAGTATCCTATACGTATATTTTTAAATTCATTGAAACGCAAACCTTTAAATATCTCGATTCAAAATAAACGGCTCATATATGTGTGTACACTGTTTGATCAATCTATTGGATATCTCAGTGTCTAAGACAAGACCTGCTAGGGTTATCTTACCGATGAGTAAGCTGCGGATGTTTATGTTATAATTCTCAAAAAAACATAAGAAATACTTTTAAAGTAGGATACGAATTCTTATATTTAAGGGTTGAGATGACCCTCTAGAAAGCTTCTATTTCATTAATTCTGTCAATACAAATACGAATTAGATCCGCAGTCTACCGGGATGAGTCTGACTAAGTAAGACAAGACCTGCTAGGGTTATCTTACCGATGAGTAAGCTGGCGGATGTTTATGTTATAATTCTCAAAAAAACATAAGAAATACTTTTAAAGTAGGATACGAATTCTTATATTTAAGGGTTGAGATGACCCTCTAGAAAGCTTCTATTTCATTAATTCTGTCAATACAAATACGAATTAGATCCGCAGTCTACCGGGATGAGTCTGGCTAAGTGTCAGATCGAATTTCGAGGTTGGTTTTTACACTGTGATCAAAATTTCACGTTTCTTCTCGAATTTCTGTTCAGGACGATACACGATTGGCAGCAGAAGTTCGGTAGATAATGGCGGCGACGTGAACGAATGTTACGACGTCCCGCCACGAGCGATACCCGTGATTCCATCGCCAGCGAGCAGTCCGAGTCCTGCACCGTCTTGCTACGATATCCCGAGGCAACCGACCTCCTACACGCCGAACTCAAATTGCTCTGGAGGATCCGGTGTTACACCTCTCGATTGCTACGACGTGCCCAGACAGTTGCAGCCCCTTACACCCAGCAGCTCTGCGTCCAGCCTCACGAACGATGGATCTCTCAGCGGATCGAACCGGTACGTGCTACAAACAAATAACACTCGGACACTTCGCTATTATTCTAGTAATAACACTGCTCGCGTTTCTTTCGAAGAATATTAGAAACTACCCATTTTATCTAGAATTTAATTTCGGAACAATTTTAACGGGAGATTCTAGAGGCCTAAATAAAACGAAAATCAAGAATAAAAATTTGTTTGATTTGTTCATTGAATCATAAATCAAGGGGTTAATACTTTGTACGATCACCGTTTTTATTTATTTCTTGAGGAATTTGGCATTGATTAGAATATATTAATTTGAGGTTAAGTTCACGATAATATCGAAACCATACTATTACGTTTAGTCAACTGTTGCGAACTGTATCTATATACAATTCTTTATTACGGGAATTTAGAATATATTAATTTGAGGTTAGGTTCACGATAATATCGAAACCATACTATTACGTTTAGTCAACTGTTGCGAACTGTATCTACGTACAATCCCTTATTACGGAAATTTAGAATATATTAATTTGAGGTTAGGTTCACGATAATATCGAAATCCTACTATTACGTTTAGTCAACTGTTGCGAACTGTATCTATATACAATTCTTTATTACGGGAATTTAGAATATATTAATTTGAGGTTAGGTTCACGATAATATCGAAACCCTACTATTACGTTTAGTCAACTGTTGCGAACTGTATCTATATACAATCCCTTATTACGGAAATTTAGAATATATTAATTTGAGGTTAGGTTCACGATAATATCGAAACCCTACTATTACGTTTAGTCAACTGTTTCGAACTGTATCTATATACAATCCCTTATTACGGAAATTTAGAATATATTAATTTGAGGTTAGGTTCACGATAATATCGAAACCCTACTATTACGTTTAGTCAACTGTTGCGAACTGTATCTATATACAGTCCCTTATTATGGAAATTTAGAATATATTAATTTGAGGTTAGGTTCACGATAATATCGAAACCATACTATTACGTTTAGTCAACAGTTGCGAACAACATTTAATCGTAAATTGAAATTGCCTAAAAATCTTGCAACTTCAGATTAAATCTTCGAGAAATCTTTAAAAACTTTACGCCGTGGTATTTTCGAAAACTTTCTGTGTTTTTCGAAGACGAATTCCGTTCCGTTCGTGATCGTAACGGCGAAGTTCAACAGAGTAATTCGAGAGTATTTAAAGCATCAACATCGAGTACGATGAACCGTGTGTACATTTGCTATAGTAACGAGACGCACAGCTGCTAGGAAGAGATTTATTTCTAGAAGCTTAAATACCGAACTAGTGCCAACAGCGGTCATTCCTACCACAGTTTCAGAGAAACTTGTTTAACTTCGATGATTAACACATTGATTACCACGTCATTTTTCACTAAGCTACAAAAATTAATTCCCGAGATTAGATGTGTAGTAGAGGTTATAGGAACAGACGATAAAAAACGACAGATGTATGTTTTAGGTTATGTTTGATATTGCACGAATCGTTGTATACATGGTACTGAACGCTATTCAAATTTCAACTGCTATACCAAAACAAAAGATGGTGTGCACGTTTGCCAACATGGGAATGAGAAACATTTCCAACAAGATGTTAAAGAAAATAAATCTAGATAGGATTCTTGAATTTTAATCACAGTATAATCACGATCATAGTCATCAAGAATCATTTTGATTCTATCATTTTAGATAAGTAGAATGATCGAAATCGTGTCAGCCTCTCATATTATTACAAATATATTTATTATATGCTTGAGGTATACGAGTAGACTGCCATACCGACCTGAAAATTCGGAGGTGATTTTAGCGCCCTCTTCACATGGATGGCGGTCAGTTGAGAAACTATTCACTGAATTCGTATTGATAGGCAAACAGCTGTGGATTCATTTCTGAATCTGTCGGTAACGTTTCGAATGACACGAAAATGGTAATGGGGTTTCGAGACCCCATAAAAATAGGCCGGAAAAATACATTGGATGAAGAATCTATGACGATACTCTAGAATCTTTGATGAATCAATGAGAATCAAAACTAACCTAGCGAAGAAGCTCTATATTTATGACGACCTACGCAAAGCGGATCGCAGCCAATTTGCTAATACTATTTAATTTTTAATTAATAATTGCATTACCCAGCTAAGAGTGATACGATTATTAATTAAACGGTAAATAATATTACCCAGGTCTCACCACGTGGAGGTTGCTGCGAATGGAGACCCGCCCTAACCGATTCCCAACCACCCTCCATTACTAAAGATCTTTTGTGACCAGCGATCGTTGGTCGAAGAAGCAATAAACGAAAGAGTTTTTGAGAAAGAATTTGCCTCTAAATTCTCATCAACAAAACAGAGAAATATACCAAAATATTGCCTGCCTGATGTAATGATTAATATAGAGAACCAAACTCCCTGCCTAACTATAAATCTAAATTCACTTATTAATTAATTAATAATTAATTATAAATCCTACCTATCTAATCATCTAACAAAATACATAGAAAATATATTCTTCTTTCTTCTATTTTCTATTTATCCCACGATGATTTCCTGAAACACGAACAATCAAACGAAATGGAAGAATCAACAAAGTACCTCCGTAGAATATTACGAGAATTCGAGCGAGAAAACAATATTACATTATTATATCCTGCAATATTATACATATCGAAGCTTGAATTCACATCGAACGAACAAATAAAAATAATAAAATAGAAATAAGTGGAGTGGGACTTACTACTTGTTGTCAGTACATAGGGTAGTTACCACTGGGCCAGCTGTAAAGTAAGAAAATATTCATATTATAGCAACGTCGGTTAGGCAAGCAAGGCAAAATCAGGTTATTGAAGCGAAATTGGTATCAAATAGATTAAAGGAGGGGAGAGAATTTTTAAACAGTTCTTACCGTTGGTCATCACCGTCCGGCACTGGTCAGTAGTGGTCAGTAGTGGTCAGTAGTGGTCAGTAGTGGTCAGTAGTGGTCAACGCTGGCCAGCAGAGGTCAGCAGCGGTCCCCAGTTTGTGGTCGCCGGTCGGAACGTTGGCGCATCTCGGCCATCACCGTGATGCTCCTGGTGGACAGACAGCGAATTAATGGGGGTTTCCCAAAATCGAGTGACCACTCTAGCTAAAATAAGGTAGCTAGGACAACGCGCGCGGAAGAGTACGAGGAGACACGTTGTTGATTTACGTTTAGTTACATTTGTTAACATTTTTTGAGAAATAAAGGAATATATACCCAAATATTCATCCACCTCGTCCTGAACATTATTGTGTGTATAGCCGTAGACGCTATAAGTTCTCTTCTGGCCATTTGTACACTCCCGAATTCGCAACAAGACTGAAGAATTCTTCGCAGTGACCCTGCTCATCTGTCTAAGGTGATGAAAGGGTGGGGAGACCAGTCAGAGCTAAAGCCTAAGTTAACAGATAAGACTGTCCTGTCTACAAAGAAACTATTTCGATTGGGCTCACCTCTTGACCATTTCTGGATCTTCACTGGCCAGCTGACCTTGATGTCAACCTCACTGCTGACCACCAGTGACCATAAGCTAGTCATCGTTGATCATCGACCCATTAAAACCATCACGAAGATTAAAGCCTCCTCACGAGGACCCCTTACAATTTGATAACTGTTTCAGATCCAGCCTCGCAGCTCCCGATTACGATGTACCTCGATCGCGTCTTCCAGCTTCTTCGTTGCCGTCCCGGCACAATACGCCCGTGCCTAAAACACCGACGCCTCCACCTCCGTCGCAAACCCAGCAGATCTACGACGTTCCGGTCAGCAAGGAGCTTCCCCTGGAACTCGACTCAGCGTTGGAAGGTCTGCAAAATCTGCAAACCGAGGCTTCGGCAGCGATAGCCAGGCTACTCGGTTTCGTCAGCCCAGGTTGGAGAACACCCCAACGATTAGATGCAACCTTGATGGATCTTCGACTAGCCGCTCTTAGGCTCAAAACGTCCCTGCACGACCTGGCCGAATTCGCAGAAGGTAAAACATCTTATTTGCAAATAAATAAATGTGCAATATACGGTAATGATTTAAATGATTTTCTCGAGGGAGAAAAGGGACGTCGAGTCCCAAAGGTGGAAAGGTTCTCGATTAAAGGGAGTCGCACGATCTTTGTACAGGCACCCTGGGGAACGCGGGCAAGGCGCCGGACAAAGGGTTGGCCTCGAAACTGCGACCCCTGGTCAAGGCCCTACGTGATTCCGACAAACTCGTGCAGGAAGCCGCCACTGAGCTGGACGCGATGGAATGGGACGCGGGGAAACTCTGTCGCGGGGGTGGCGATACCCCGACACCTACCAACGGGCCACCGTCCACCCTCCTACCACCCGTGCAACCGGATCCACTCGATCAGCTGATCGCGTGCGCCCGAGCACTCACGGAAGACGTTCGTCAGGTCGCCAGTTTCATTCAGGTGAGCATCCACTGCCAGTGTACGAAAGAACACACACACAAATTGACTCGTTAAAGGTTATATAAGATTCGCTATACAGGGTGTTCGGCCACACCTGGGGAAAAAATTTTAATGGTAGATTCTATAGGCCAAAATAGGACGAAAGTCAAGAATACTAATTTGTTGATGAAGGCTTCGTTAAAAAGTTATTAACGCTTAAAGTTCCGCACGTATTGAATTTTTTTCTCGAAAACGCGCAGGATTTTGAGGGTATGTCTATTCACCGAAAATGATTATAATTGATCTCAGCAACCAGAAATAATTTTTTTAGAGCGATTTAAAACTTTTTAATTTCGTCGAAAAATGTCACACCTCGAATTTTTTTCTCGAAAGTGGGTAGGATTTTGGACATATGTCTATTCACCAAAAATGATTGCAATTCACCCCTGCAACCGAAAATAATTTTTCCAGAAAGATTCGAAATTTTTGAATTTTGTCGAAAAATTTCGCACCTTCTCGAATTTTTTTCTCGAAAATGGTTAGGATTTTGGGGGTATGTATAATGACTCAAAATTATTGTAATTGATCCCCGCAACCGAAAATAATTTCTTCAGAAAGATTCGAAATTTTTGAATTTAGACGAAAAATTTCACACCTTCTCGAATTTTTTTCTCGAAAATGGTTAGGATTTTGGGGATATGTCTATTCACCGAAAATGATTATAATTGACCTTGGCGACCAGAAATAATTTTTTTAGAGCGATTTAAAATCTTTTAATTTCGTCGAAAAATGTCACACCTTCTCGAATTTTTTTTCTAGAAAGTGGTTAGGATTTTGGACATATGTCTATTCACCAAAAATTATTGCAATTCACCCCTGCAACCGAAAATAATTTTTCCAGAATGATTTGAAATTTTTTTATTTCATCTAAAAATTTCACTACCTACTCGAATTTTTTTCTCAAAATTGGCTAAGATTTCAGGGGTACGTGTATTCATAAAAAATGATTGTAATTGACGCCTGTAACCAAATATAATTTTTTAGCATGATTTGAAATTTTTTTATTTCATCTAAAAATTTCAGTACCTACTCGAATTTTTTTCTGAAAATTGGCTAGGATTTCTGGGGTACGCATATTCACCAAAAATGATTGTAATTGAGCGATTGATTTAGTCGCATATTAATTGCTTCGTTTACTATAAAATATTTTTAGAAATCATTTGTAAAATTCTACCCAACTGCACGAATAAAATGAACGAATGCCCCGGTACTTAGGATCGACACAGTCCAGTGTTACTTTTGGCAAAATAATCAAATTGACGGGATTTGTTTGCACCCAGGGTAACTCGACGCTGCTGTTCAAACGGTCGTCGATCATCTCGACCGGCAGCAGCAACAACAGCGGCGCCGGCGAAGATTACGATTACGTAAGTCTCGACTCAAGGGAGGTGGTCGAGAAGCAACGCGAGGATCTCAGGTCGACTCTGCCCCAGGATCTCAGGGCGACTCTGCCCCAGGAACTTCGTAGTAATTACGACCAGCTTATATCCGAGGCGGACAATGCGAAGATTCAAATGCCACCTACGACACCCACACCCATAGATCCCAACGACAAACAATTGCTGGCTTTCTACGCCGCCCAGGTGATCACGCATGGCAACCACCTAACTCACGCCATCGATGCTTTCATGCAAATTGTCGCGCACAACCAACCACCCAAGGCGAGTACCAAACATTTTTTCTAATCTCTGTTAACTTCGTACATGTATACTTGTAAGAGAGCATATCCCTCTGGCGGGGAATACGGGAACTGATTGTAAGAAACTCTACAAGACGTAGAATATATTGTAAACGTACAAAATTGCTAAATGTAAACATATTGAGAGCGTATCCCTCTGGTGGCAAGTGCGGGAAGTGATTTTAAGAAACTTAAATGCTAACAAGACGTGGAATAGCATATTGTTAAACCATTTCACGTAAATATCATTTGTACGAACTGGTGCAAAAACAAAATGGTTTCCGAACAATCTTTTCTTTCGTTCATTGCCAAACGAAAAGATATAGTTATTGAAAAAATTTCTCACGTTACCTTTAACTGTGACATGAATAACTATAATGTTTATCTTGTTAATATTCTCCTATATTCGTAGCAATAAATAATGATTTACAGAGAACTTGTGATTATTGGTTCATACATCGAATAAAATAAATGTTTTCTATTATTTAACTAACTATATTCGTTCGTTGTTTTAACAGGTATTCCTAGCTCACGGAAAGTTCGTGGTGTTAAGCGCTCACAGGCTGGTGCACATCGGTGACACGGTGCACAGGAACGTGACCAGAAACGACGTGAAAACAGACGTATTGAAGTGCGCGAACGCACTGTACGACGCCCTCGCGCAAACCGTGTCGAAGACGAGACAGGCGGCGCAATTCTTTCCGAACGTGTCCGCGGTTCAAGAAATGGTCGACAGCGTGGTGGACGTTTCTCATTTGGCGAAAGACTTGAAGGTCACGATGATTCGCGCCGCGCAGCAACCTTGAACGTTTCAAGATCGAATCCCAATTATCGACACGGAGGAAACCTTGCGACACGCGAGCTGAACAAAATCCGCCATTTTTCATAACGGGACATCGTATGCATGCAAGTTCCTCCGGTTAGGCTTGGAAATCCTGATGGTCGAAACCATTTCTGTTTACAGAAATATCGTTAAACGTAACAATGAGCAGCTATCAAACTTTTATACTCGATCGGTCGAGTTAAAAGTCGAGATTTTGATAAGAAAGAAAACGACTGACGAAGCAGGATACAAACTGAGTCTAGAACGCGACTTTTGATCGTTTAATCGACGATAAAACAAACTTGGACCACGGAAGAAGCGCCGACCACCACCTTTTTCGTTCGACTAACACGAAACTCCTTCCTCCTTTAATCGCAATAAAGAGTTCTCGAGGCCTATCGTTACTTAGAACTACGCAATTGCCAAAGCACAGGTATCTAGAATATAAGGGAACCTCTTTCGGGATAAGCGTCTTTGTAATGTACTTGAGAATATAGACGATGTAACCTTTTATAGGAAACATGTAACCGTGTCGTTCGTTAGCTAGAGGTGTGAAATAAATTAACGACGTAAAATGAAATTGTAGCATGTGTAGAACGTATTTGAAATGGCTCTTAAAATCGTCGATACGAGATTCATTTCGAACTGTAATGCGCCGTTGTCATTGCCAGCGTGTTAATTGTAATCGTAAACGTGTACCGTGTAGATAACAGTCGCAGAACGCAAACAGTTCTGTATTTGCGCCACTGATTTGGCACATTTTCATTTGTAAGAGTGTGCGAATACTACTGCCAAACAACTGCACTGGTTAACGTTGTATCGTTAACCTGGAAAAGTTGAAAAGAGTAACGTATTTCAAAGCGTCTAAAATAAAAAGAAACGATACAGTGAAAACTCGATAAATGTCCTCAAGAGCTGTTCCATAAATGATACACTTTTATCCCCACCACTAGGGGGATCCCCCTTGAACCAGTGAGGCGAAGTGTAACCGGAGACGTAGCGGCTTTCTTTAAAAATCTTTATTGCCTTCGTCATCTTAGTTTAAATGTCCCTGTCAGTGTGACCACACTACTGTACAAGAGGAAAGTTTTTTATTTTTTACTTTTTTTTAATAAAAATTTTACTATCATGTGGGGAAGATTTTTCTAATTAAAATGTGACTAAACACGATATAAATCGGCCAATATTTGTTACCATAATATTGAATTAAATATTGTGTACTCGTATCTTCGCAAGGTCAGTGGATTGGTACATTTATCGAACAGTGGTAGCTAACGAAACCCCCTATTTCATAAGTGTTGCAGTTTTTGATCACTTACGAAACGGTGGAACCGTTCCGTTTGAAAATAGCTACCTCCCGTTCGATAAACGTAGCCAGCACCTCGATGCGTCGTTCTTTGATATTTCCGAACATAGAAAAGGGCAGCACAAGAAGGATAAATAAAGAGAGAAAGACTCGCAAGTACAATATTTAATTCAATATTATGCTACCAAATATTGACCGATTTATATCGCGTTTAGCCTCATTTTAATCAGAGAAATCTCCCCAACATGATAGTGAAATTTTTATTAACAAAAAGTAAAAAATAAAAAATTTTCTTCTGTGCAGTAGTGTGGTCAGACTGACGCGTATATTTAAACTGGGGCGATAAATCCGAGTTTCAGTCCCTCTTTCTTCTTTAGCTACTGACTCTTTCTACGTTCGAAGCGTCGGCAAACTACAATCAAATTCGAAAGACGATTCTCCTATTCCGTAAGTGTTGCTGACCGGACCCGGAGTAGCGACATTTATCGAGTTTTCACTGTACTAGCCTAAAAAATTATCGGTGAAAAGAGCTATTACGGGAAGAAAATTTTCAAACCGACATTCGTAATATTAATATTTACACAAAGGTTTGACTACGTACAACGGAAATCTGTCTTTTTACAGGCCGATTTTGAAACGAATTTTTATAGAATTTTTATTGCCGAGGTACGACTTTTTCGTGCTAGACCTTTTTACAGCTCTTCCAAATGTATTCAATCAATTACAAACGCACACCGAGGATTGCGAAAAATTATGCGTTCGATTTGTACGTTGTTTACAATCGTTCCAATGATAATTCGATCGCACGGCGCTCTCCTTACAAGCGCGACGAAAACGGTAACTAAAAAACGATATGCGTTCTCGTACATTCGATTCAATAGTTATCTACTGTAGACGTTAGTTTCTTTCACGACGTATTCGAAACTTTCATGATCGGAAGGACTTAAATTTCTGTCAAAAATACACATACAGTCGCTTAAAATCATACACCTGGCGGTAAAATTTTACTAAGTTATTGAAACTCGTATGGAGGTATCTCAAATTCAATTTAATTTACCGAGTACTACTAAAGGTTTTTTTTGTATTGTCATATATCAAATAAAAAACCATTACGCTCCATACGAGTTTCAATGGCTCAGTACAATTTTCATGTTGCATTGAAAAAATGTCGGCTGAACCGCCATGTGTACGATTTTAAGCGACAGTCACTGTATCTCTTTTCGCTTGCATAGGTAATGAATTTGATTGTTAATACGCTGCCTTTATATCTTAAGGGGTAATCGACAACCGCACATTTGTAACGCAGCTTTAATATCGGTATATCTTTCGAAGTATTTACTTTTTCGCCTTTCGAGACGCAGCCTTTTTATCTCCTTTTTTTTCAAGGAGAATACCGGAGGATCGCTGAAACCAGAAGGCCGAATGTTTGAAACACTTTCAGACGATCGTCCATATTTAGAGTATTTACCATAATAGCTTATAGTTTATTTTTTAGAGTATATAATCGAGCATATCGCGTGAACACGAAACCTCGTTTACGAGACTTGTATTATAATTTATTAGCGAAATGTTTTTGTAAGATAAGAAGCATTAAGGCAGTTAGAGTTACTGTATATTTAGAATTTATACATAGTCGATACTAATAGGTGCTTACAATTCTCGTTGAAACATATTCCGATAATCGTGACATAATATTAAGCAAACAATTTCCTTTTATATTGTTTAAACGTAAGATATTGATATGCATTGTCGATCGCACGTGTAAGAAATTTTATCGTTCCGTAACGTTTTCTTTAATTTACCGTTTGTACATTGTACCTGTAACTCTTTCGTGCTGAAATATTTTCCAATTTAATGACGTTATGCATTAGAAAGGAATTTTACCGGTGGAATTCGTTATTCGTAACAATTACCAGTCGGAGTTTCGTATAAAACTGTAATTGTTCGAGTATCGTCGCGTAAAATTATATTGCAATCAGTGCTCGTAAACTTTACTTAACAGATCGACCAGGCTATATGTATAACGATTACTGAAACGTTTGTCATTTGGATTAGCGTATCCTTTGAACTGAATCGATTGTTACTTTAAGAGCGTTTAACGTGTACATAAGCATATACATACATATGTATATTATAATTATTCCTATACAATGTATACATAAATACAATGATGTATCAACACAGCGATGAAACAGAAACATTTAAAAATCGTGCAATGTCAAATCTTAATTTTTAAGCATTGAATTATACTCAAATGCGTAAAATATTTACAAATAGAGAGAAGCATTAGACTTGTTTTGAATAACATAGACACAAACTTTGAGAAATAAATGAATGCTAAAGTGTTTTCATCCAAAAAATTGGTATCGTCTTGCATTTAATTTGCTTGCTGAAATTTGGGTGATAATTTTGTATACTAGCGCGTTATTTGTATATTATAGTTCAATGGTTCAATAAAGATTAATTGAAAATATAAACAGGAAGTGTAAAGATCATAATCCTTCTCAGCTTACTTTCTTTATTAAGATTTATGGGCCCTAAATAACATGGTATATCAATCAACTACACGCAATTTCCATTGAAGTACATACAATAGTTTAAACGTCTCTCTCATAATCCCAGTATAAGTATTAACAAGTACACCCCTTTGTGGTGGCATATAAAACATTTCATATGTCTTGGATAAGGCTTGAATAAATACACATACTCTAGTATTTATGAAGTGTTCGTGATAATGTACAGGTCAAACATCCAAGCCACAAATGCTTGACTTAAAATATCTTCACGTATTTCTCATACAAATTCGTTTATGAAAAATACGTACAAGTGACACAGATTTAGATCCAAAATGTACGGAGCTAATAATGTAGGAAATCCATTGAAACCTACTTGTAGGTAGATTCACAGAGTCACTATTATGAATGATCGCAGCATCTGCCAATATGTGTGTGCGTATTACCATCTTTGTTCATTTTTTCTTTGGCTGCATTCTTTTCCATGTGAAAGCTGCTGAGATCCCGCTTCATGGCATAAGCATCTTCTCCGTCAGCATAATATTTTGGTTCAACTTCGGACACCTCAAATTGCAAACTGCTTGTATACAAATTTAAAGCTGCTCGATTGCTTCTACGCACATGTAGCGAAACATATTTTGCTCCAAAACACTCGACCATCGCTCTGGAAGCTTGATTCATAAGTTTCTGTGCGATACCAAGTCTTCTGTGAGACCTTTTCACTGCCAAGCTTGTAATATGTCCATGCGGATTGTCCTCGCAATCCTCCTCCATCTTGGCCAGAACGTAACCGACTATCCTGCCTTTTTCATCCTCTGCCACGTAACTTAATTGTGGCCAAGAAAGAGCATGATATAAATAATACTTCATCTGATAATTCTCAGGCAAACATTGTAAATTACAATGTTGTATGTTCAACAGATCATCCGTTGTTGCACACCGTATATTTATAGACATTTTTATGGCTTAAAACGTAGACACACAAATAAAAAACTATAATAGTCAATTTCTTCCCTTGAATATTCCCTTATATGTCGTCGAGTTCTCTTATTGTCTTCAATTTCCAGAGTCTCAGTCCCTGCGAATTTTCTTTATGCGAGATCTACCATTCTTTAAATCATTCACCGATGAAGATTCGGTCATTCCATCCAACAGTTCTCGAACAAATCGGAATCGCGAAAGGAAACACTTCCAAACTAAATACCAACCTGTAAAAGAACACAGAAATATGTTCACAGAACAAGAAACTAATAGCAACTAAATACTTTATATTAAAATAACATATTGAATATAAAGCGTGTGTAATTTCATGAAACGTACTGGCTAAATAACAGTTCGTTAAAATGTTAATTCCAACGAAAACAATAATCAAAATAAACTGAATAATATGAGGACGGATGCAAAGGGATAATATAACAAAATTAGAGAGTTTTTCGTTGACGGTTCGTTCAAAACGGTAAAAGACAAAAGGGAGTTTTCAATTTTTACAATCGCAAATAATCGACAATATTGCGCATACACGTGACGATAGAGGTTAAGTATGTAGTCAAACTCTCCTACTATACCTTCGACTTCGAAACTATATGACTACTCGACAGCTCGGGTAACAATGTCTCGGAACTCTCTGCATATCGCGTAGCAATAACAGAACGTTACTATCTGTCGTTCTTACCCAGCAGCACCAGGCCAAATACTATGAGCAGACTCGATATCACGGAGAAGGCTGCTAGGACGATTTCCTGCATTATTAAATCCGTACCTCAACTACGAATATACTAACAAACTTCTTGGGATGACGTACGCGGGAATAGTGACATAACCTCTTTCTGTTTCTTGCTTTCCTGGCAAGAGAAATAAATTCACCAAATATAGAAACACGAGCGACAAATTTAACACGACTTCGGCACGTAAAATCACTTACGTTTTTCGATCACCGATAACACGCCATTTTGAATCACGACGAAGCTTGTGTCAGTACAGGTTATGAATTCCCCCCAGCCAATCAACACGTCAGTTTTATTATCGTTATTCAACGAAATGCAAAATCATTCAGGGATATCTTATGTAACTTACCACAGTTCAACAGTAAATGTTTCGTTCGTCAAAACAGCATCGATCACACGTATACTCGATAATAGTCAAAATGGACTATGAACTTTTCAAATAGCAGCAACCAAAGCCGACAGGAAATAGTCATACCTCGAACTCGAAATATGTACGCGCAATCGCAACACGCCCGGAAGAAACTATCGAAGCGGCTTTATTTAAATTTTCCGAATTTATGAAAAATGTGCAACAGTTAATCAAATAGTTTAAAAGTAAAGAAAAGTACAAGAATATATACAATACATCAAATTTTCTATTTAACATGATGTGTAGTATTTTATTGCTGCTATATATACGAAGTACATTAATCGGTAAAACGAAATATGTGATATATTTGTATCATATAGCAATTTACTAAGTGTATTCACAACAATATCAGTATATGCATATTCAATTATCATCTTCGTCAAATTCTTCCAAGTGACCCAATTTAAGTTGTTTCAAACGATCCACTTTTTCCAAACGTTTCTCCTTCTTATTTTTCTTTTTTTGTTTTTGTCCAACAACATATTCCGGCATAATAATTTTACTGCTTCTAAAAACTGGTTTATCATTGTGTTCAATAACGATCGATGTATTCAGTGTTTCTACGGCGTCACGTTCAGGTTTTTTAAATTCAATATCTGAAATTGCTTTCACTTTCTTGGACGTAAACCCTGTCTTAGTTTGATCATTTCCGGTTGACGCAATTTCATCTACGTCCATTTCCCTTTCTCCGTCGATTTGTTTCAACGACCTTCTTGCTTTTAATTCTTTTAAAAAAGATAATGCAGCCCTTGTATTACTCTGTTCTGTCATATCATCGTTAGATACATCATCCAAACTATATCTCATCCATTTATGAGGATTTCTGTGATAATCTGGTACACTTCTATTAACTGCACGCGGTGCTGGACCTTCGGGTCGCTTAAAAATACTCTCTTTACCACGAAATCTTTTCAATTCACTTTTACGTTTTTGACCAGCTCTTAGAATTATAGACTTATTTGATTCGTCAATAGCCATATCTACATCTGTAGACTCAATGACTGATTTAGTTCTGTTGCATTCTTGTTCTGCGTCTGACAATCTGTCAAACAAAAGCTTTTGCCTATTTGCAAACGCAGTATCACCGCCATGTAAAATAAAATCTCCAGAAGTATGCATTTTATTAAATTATAATTCGAATTACTTCTTTATTAACGTGTCAACGTTAAGTCCACATGTAGTTTCAAAATAAAATTGTTAAAGCACAAATAAAATTGTTAAAACCATGTATACATTTAGTAGAGCATTCTAATAGGTTAGAACATCTAACATTACTTTTTTGACCAACTTTTCAACGTTTAGTGAATCCCAAAATTACTTATTATCGTTTTACGAATGTTTAATAGATACATATTTAACAAATTAACAATACAATTGACGTTAAACTATGTTTCATGTGTGTCGCCATTTTATATCGAAATCACCTATCGAGATACCACCTATGCTTGAAATTATTAATTTCCTAACACGTTGTCATATTATTTACGAATGTTACTATATAATAATATACTATTTTACAATTCTGTATGCGTTTTATTAATAAAGGAATATATGTAAAAATAAAAACTTATTTAAAAGTAACAATATTAATGGAATACGACATTTCGAACTTTCTATAAGTAGTACGTTTCATATGACAATGCAATTGGATGCAAACAGTGCCTGTAACGTGTAAATAAAATTTAAATTACGCTACGTTTTCTATGTATGGCCAGAGACGCCAGAAAAGCACCGTCGGGTGCAACTCTCCATGCCAGATACGCGTACTTACGTGACCTCGTGGAGTTTCGGAAAGTCGACAAAGGCAAACTGACGCATGCCCTCTTTCTCGATTCTCCGAAGCTGCCCGAAGTAATTTCGGACCGCCTCGTGGGAGTCGAGAAAGAAAAGCTCACATTTGCCTTCTCGCTCTTAACAACTGAAATCCGACCTCCCGTCAACGGCATACGATTTGGATTCTCGACTGCCCAGGCATTTTTACTTTCCGACCTATGTAAGCGCACATAAGCAAAGTACCCATAATGAAAAAAAAATTTTGTAAAATTTATTTTACGGAAATACACGTTTTAAGACCTCCTGATCATATTTTAATTATTGAAAAAAAAGAAATTTCTTTTATTAGTCCCATGTATGAGCGCACATATGTATATCATTAATACGATTGAGTATAAATAGCTGAATGAATTTAAATGAAACTTTACATTTTAGTTTTATATTCTCATTTCAAAGTCCGGTTAGACTTTGACTATAATCAGTCCATGGATAATAATGATTGTACCTCTTGTTTCATAGTTGTTCCGATATACATATAGGCATAATGTATAAAAAATCTTTTAAATGTTTCGTACAAATCTTAGGACGAATTAAATTTTATGTAAAAAAAATTATATAAACTTTTTCTCTATCTTCTCTAGAAAAGAAAAAATTAAATGAAATCTTATACATTACATGCTTACTTAAATCGCATTGAAAACGAATACCACAAATGTTTTAGAATAATGTGCAAAATGTGATTGCGATTTTCGCTAAGACAAATTGAAAACTCGGTTCTAACGAGGAAAAGTTGGATGGAATGGTACCCGATTTTGGGTTAGGTTTTACTTTGAGATATTATTAAAGTTATTACAGGTACTTATCTTCAGAAATAGAACTATGTTCACCACTAATCAGCGTGGCGTGAATGATAAGGTGTTTGCTGCAAGTTCCGAGCTTCTTCTGCTCTGCAGGTTCTCGAACCCTGCAAAAACAAATCCTTTTTTTTTATTTTTTCAATCATATTTTAATCGTACACTAAATGTGACATTATATTTTTGTCTGAACTTCGAATATTTTTTTTTTTAAGTTGAATTTAACCAATTACATTTAACATATGTTATTTTCAATGTACAAAGTACATGAATCTGGATGGTTCTTTTTGTAAAAAATTTTTGAAATTTTTGTTTCATTATGGTTTTTGCTTATATACGCCTACATAGGTCGGAAAGTAAAAAATGCCTGGGCAGTCGAAAATCTCGGCTCGAGATTATGCGTGATCGAATTTCAGCTGTGTTGAGAGCAAGAAGGATAGACTCACATTCGCCGCCTTTCTCGAATCCACGAAGCTGTACGAAACGCCAGAACTCATATACAAGGTGGTTGGCATTAGTGTGTGTAAGTGGAAGGGCAGTTCCCTTTGGACACGGGTCTGCCGTCTGATAATACTGCACTGTCTTTTTCAATCCCTCCCATAGTCAACTCACATGTATTTACGTACACACTACAGCTGGCTGCCCATCAATCCTAATTCAGTGCCTAGTTTCTCAACTGACCGCCATCCATGAGAAGAGGCCGCTAAAATCACCTCCGAATTTTCAGTTCGGTGTGGCAGTCAGATTCGGCCGCGAAAGTCCATAAGGTGAAAGGTCTATTCATATATTTCTTTGCTTTCACCACAGACGACGTATATGACTCCTATACCTCGTCTGTGCTTCAGATACAAAGGGATATAACTGGGTAAAACAGTTTTATGGCATTGCCTGCTAACTCATGTTACTGTTCTACAATGAAACGCTATGTTTTGTACCTTTAAAAATATTCGACTATGTCCTTTTAAAATTTAAGATCCAACCCATACTTTGTATTAAACTGGCAAACGGGATCACCTTTCCTTTGTTTCTAGTTAATTCTATTTAGTTCGTCATAACAAATTGATACGGTTATCTCAAAACAATCGAGGAAAATCATTATTAATTAATTTCTGCTATTATTAATTCTACTGTTTTGTTTATGTTATAAAAGTAAGAACTCTTCTTATTGAAAAATGCCACAGCGTGCACAATACTGGTAAAAAGTGGAATCTCATTTTAATTTATTAATTTTCAATCTTAAAGTATTTTGATTTTCAAAAATCGTATTAATAATATACATATGTATGTGCTCATACATGGGAATAAAAAAAATTTCTTTTTTTTCAATAATTAAAATATGATCAGGGGGTCTTAAAACGTGTATTTCCGTAAAATAAATTTTACAACATTTTTTTTTCATTATGGGTACTTTGCTTATGTGCGCCTACATAGGTCGGAAAGTAAAAATGCCTGGGCAGTCGAGAATCCAAATCGTATGCCGTTGACGGGAGGTCGGATTTCAGTTGTTTAGAGCGAGAAGGCAAATGTGAGCCTTTCTCTCTCGACTCCCACGAGGCGAACCGAAGTTACTTCGGGCAGCTTCGGAGAATCGAGAAAGAGGGCATGCGTCAGTTTGCCTTTGTCGACATTCCGGAACTCCACGAGCTCACGTACGCGTGATCTGGCATGGGTGAGTAGGGCACCCGACGGTGCTTTTCTGGCATCACTGTATTAGAGTCGGATGTAACTATATGCATATTTTACTAAAATGTAAATAAAAGTAAAATTCAGGAATTTGATACAAGTTAATCTTCCATCGACAATTATATTGATTTTAATTTATTCCTAAAGTAATTGTTATAACATTATAGTTAAACAATTATTTTAAAGTTTTAATATAATAAAATTGTGGGATATTGTTTGACTCTTAATACTGATCTCAAAATACTGTTTGACAATTTATAAACGCTTAATTCTTTTTGAATCGTGAAAGTTATTTTAAACTTGTCTTAATTTAAAAGGTTTCTTTTACATAGTAGTAAATTTGCATACCGAGAATAAAATTACGACCAATCATAACACAATACATGCAGAGCCGTATGTGATTGGTTGAGGTTTCTGACACTTTGACGTCTGCCTTTATCGTCGTGTGGGGTCATATGATACTGTCATTCAGAGGAATAGGAAAATTGTAAATTATCATCATATATTGTTTCTATCAAAATTTGTAACGTGCCTTATATATGCACAAGTGAGTTAAAATAACATTAATCTTAAAACAGTTTCGTATATTGAGCAACAATGTCATTTTTTGGAGTGAATGTTAATCCGTTTTCAACACCAGTAGGCCAGAAGATAGGTAAGTTTCTTATTTACCTTTATGAAGTATTTTACGTTGATTAGTCGAATACAAATTCATAATCGGTTTATAAGTTTCAGTCTTAGAAATTATTATTTACGTATTAGTAGATATAAGAATTTTTATATATATAATTTCTTTCTATCTATCTATGTATAACTTCAAGCATCTATAATATCATGATTCATAACTTATAAAACATATTCTTTAAAAGATAATTAATTAATAGTATATATCATTATTATTTATTTATTCTAGAGCAAGCTACAGATGCTAATTTGGCAAGTGAGAATTGGACACTTAACATGGAAATATGTGATATTATAAATGAAACGGAGGATGGGCCAAGAGACGCAATTAAAGCAATTAAGCGTAGGCTCAATCATGCTGCAGGGAAAAATTATATTATAGTCATATATACCCTTACTGTTAGTACTTAAATATTTGGTAATATTTATATTTTAAACAAGATATAGGCTATACATTAAAGTTATTTTATACAATTAAATAATGATACAAGGTATTTATTTCTTGATTTAATTAGTTTTTCAAAATTTTCTATTTTAACGTTATTTAATATGGGTTTAAACCATATTCGATTTACAAGCTTCATAACTTATCAAGAACAGATTATTAATTAACAACAAATGCTCGTAAAAATAAAAGTTCATACATGCTTTTACACAAAATAATATTAATGTACCAGGTATTAGAAACATGTGTAAAGAATTGTGGAAAACGCTTTCATGCTCTTGCTTGTTCGCGTGAATTTGTACAAGAATTGGTTAAATTAATTGGACCAAAAAATGAACCACCAACAGAGATACAAGAAAAAGTTTTAAGTCTGATTCAAACATGGGCAGAAACATTCCGTCATCAACCACATACTCAAGGTGTTGTGCAAATGTATCAAGAACTGAAAGTAAAAGGCATACAATTTCCAATGACTGACTTAGATGCCATGGCACCCATTATTACTCCAGAAAGAGTAAGATTATTATGATATAGAATATAACTAATCAAATGATATTATATCCCTTATTTTTGTTAATGTTGCAGAGTGTACCCGAGTCGGAACAGAGTATTATAAATGTGCCTACAACCGAACAGCAATCGGTAACTCCTTTAGCAACGCAAATTCAACAACCTCAAAATCCATCATCGGGACAAGTAGTTCAGTTGAACGAACAACAATTGGCTAAATTACAAAGTGAACTTGATGTCGTACAAGGAAATATGCGTGTATTATCCGAAATGCTGGCATATTTTACAAGCTCAGATCAAAGCAGTAATCAACAACCAGACGCTGCAGATCGTGAACTTTTAACTGTATGAATATAGTTTCTGTATTTTCTAAAGAATGGGAAAAATTTGGTTTTTGCTGCGAAGAAAAATTTAATTTGTACGATATAAAACATTTATCTAATATTGTCTTAATAATTTTAATGTTTATAGGATCTTCATGCTACATGTAAAGCGATGCAAGTACGAGTTGTTGATTTAATTGGAAAGTTAGCACACGATGAAATGACAGCAGAATTATTACGTATTAACGATGAATTAAATAATTTGTTTCTGCGTTATTCACGTTACACGAAAAATAAAGCCGTAGCTGCTAGTACTATTTTAGCGCAAACAATCGGTCATCCACAAAATATGGATTCTACTTCATCGACTACTAAACAGGAAGCTGATTCTCTTATAGATTTATTTGATGAAACTGATGCTTTGGAAAAGCAAATGACAGGAATGGGTAAGTGTTACATAATTTTAGCAGACGGAAGAAATACTATTAACATTTTTGTATCGAATAACAGGTATATCTGAGAACGGTGATAAAAGTAGGATAGATCGAAAAGAAAAAAAGGAAGGCGACAGTGATGAATTTGATATGTTTGCTCAGTCACGCAATGCATCTTATGAAACTACAAAGAACAGGTTCCTAGTATTAAATCGAGTTTCGAATTTCTTAAGAATTATATATCAAGTAATACTAATTTATTTTCGTTACAGTGGTAGCAAATATGAGGACAATTTGGAACAGGTGAGCGGAGGAAGTCTCAATACAGCGATTCTCAATCGCAATAATCCTAAAAATCCCCAGCAGACTGCTTCTACAGTTGCTTCTACTACTGCTACTTCTGTGCGTAATCCCTATCCTTACTATACTCTTTATTAAAATACATTAGCTAATATCACTATTTAAGTAATATTGGTTATTTATTTACTTATAAAAAATACGTTTATTACAAGCACTAAAATATTTTTACCAATTTTTATTAAACCTTATTACGGCAGTGCTATATATTTTAAAATAATTCAGTTACAAATTTATACAAAGAGCTTTAAAATTATCTGCCCTAGAGAAAGGTAAGAATGCTACAATTTAATCAATTTTATGACATTTTAAGCATCGTACTCTCATTAATTCGATAAATCCAATAAGAAGTTGCTGCTTTCCTTTACTGTATAGCTTTTTAGAGCATGGAATGTTTATTTTTTTTTTTTTTTTCTTATATTTCTTTACGCTTTATTTTTGCTTACATAGATGCATATATTTATATGTTTTGCATTTTATTCGATGTGTTCGTTTTTATTTTTGTCCTTTGTGTTAATATTTAGCTGAACCGGGAATCTGAATTTAATGAAATGGCAGCCTGGTTAGATCATACGGTGAGTCATGCGTAATAATAAAATCAATTTGAAAAAATAAAAATCAGAGGGAAATCTTACTTTAATTGTGTAAAAATCTTTTAATGTCATTTAGTGTACCTGAACGTAAAAAACTAAAAACTTCTCGAACGATGCCACTTGTTGTAACTTATGATTAAATTGGAAATTTTAAGCAAAACATTCTTTTTTTTTAGCCAGGAGCACACGGTGATCAAGAATCTCTAACATCGTCCGAATTTGAACGTTTCTTAGCAGAAAGAGCTGCTGCGGCTGAAGCTTTACCATCCCTGCCTACAACAACTGCTGCCACTGGAAGTACTACAAATTCTGGCAACTCAAATATTCAACGCCAAATTAATAAAGATCAAGATAAATCTTTATTTGCTCTTTAAGTACTGCTTTAACATTTAAGTTTCTTACAAAATGTAGAAATTAATATTGGGTTGATACGATCATTAGATACCCCTGTCTAAGAGATCAATGTTTCTAATAACACTTAAAATTAGAGCACTGACAAAATGAATTAGGAATAAAGAAAAAGAAAAGGATAAGGGAAGGGAACGTGCTTTGCGCTTACATGTACTTAAGAATGTAATTGACACTACACGATCGTAAATTAGCATTTCTGCATGTTGTAAAAATTTAATAACAATGAATAACTTATTTTACAACTAAAATAATCGTTATGCGTAAACATTATATAATACTGATTTAGGAATACTAATTTATGTTATATGTATATAAAGAACACATTGTATCCAGAATAACATTTATATCACAATGTGTTATATCATGCCTTGAAGCTATATAAAAATTATAATATAATTGCATTTTTCAAATTTGCAGATTCAAATGCAAAGGAGTGACTATTTCATTAAATAATTGACTTTATCAAGCTATAGGTGGAAGTATTTTTCTATGTTAAATTTAATTGTGTTTTGTTTATTCGATATTCTGTATAAACATGATATGTATTTACTATTATAGTACTTTTGATTTTTATAAAAGTATTATTATGATAGAGTAATATATTATTATTATTGCTAGAAGTGTTATAATTATGTACTGATATTGCAAATAATTAATATATTCTGAACTTATAATATAAGAATACCATTGGTAATAAGGAATTTTATGTGAATTTTATGTTTGTGATTTTAAGTATTATCTTATTTTTTAAAATATGTCCAATACTATAAATAGAATTAACATTCTTCAGATAATTTAAAAAATGTGATAAAAATTTGCCAGATAGCAAATTACACATTAGGTTCTAACATTTGATTTTATAAAACTATTAAGTACATCACATCCTTTCTACCAATGAATATTTTATTTTAATATCAAATAGTAAAATATTTTTGCTAAAAATATATTACTTTTAACAAGCAGTTCAAAATCATCATAGTAGTGAACATATTAAATTCTATTACCGTAGAACGTATAAAACACAGCACTTTCTGTTTTTATTACATCTCAGATATGTTTGTAAATCAGATTTTAAATCAAATTTCCTTATGTAAATGGCACTGATGATTCATATGTGTAAATCCAAACAAGCTTGTAGGTAGCATACCTTAAGAGTTATTATTTTGTTTTATTCAATCGTTTCAATATTGCATGTTATTGAAAGAATTGTAATTTGCACGAATTTCTTTGTGCTTTTAAAATTACATGTTTGTTAAACGTTATAGATCATTTTTTTCATTTGTAATAAACATTTTCTAATGTTCCAATATGTTAATAATAGTTTATTCATAAAAAATGCTAATCCTTGTATCATATAAAGATACGAAATCGCAATTCATAGCGCTAGGCAAAGTAACAATATATATATCGTGCAGAAAAGTAGTAGTGCGTTATATTTGGGATTATAATTATATAAATTAATACTTGATAGTATATATTTAATTATTTCCTAAAAATGTTTAATTATAAGAAAATTTGAAGATATTTACTTATAATAAATATTGAGTTTGTAACAAAATGATATCTTTATAGATTGAAATTATTTCGTTCTTTGCTAGTAAAATACGTTATCAAGTATCATATAAGAATGTACGAAAGAGTTTTGTAACAACGAAGGTTCTATTTTTCTTCGATAAAATTTTTATTTTTATTAGTAACAAATACATGATTATATAATCTGCTTTATAACAATATTGGCATTAAAAACGACTAAAGAAATAAATCTGAATAATTTTAAAAAAAATCAATTAATACTTAAAATGAATTTACGTAGTTATACCTTCGTTAAAAACAGTAATAAGTACATTGCTAATTGTTTAAATCAATCGTGATATCTATTTAGTACGCAAGTAAGTACCTACATTGGAATTTTTCAAATTGGTTCCATTGATATGCATATATGTGCCCCTGAATGTATATTATTGCAGGCGATACCACGAGCTAAGGTCACGTGGTTCAACCATCGTGTATTTCATGCTGATCTGTTCATTTCAACCCGTGCGGTTGATCTGTTCGGTGGTGTTTGCGGTTCTGTGTGAATTGCTTGATTCTAAACTAAGAATTTAAGATAATTCTCGGATGGTCTGGTGTCGCAAGTTAAGTACGCAATTATTATTGTGCTCTTCTCACGAGGAACATGTATACTGTATCAAAAGGACCTAGCAAAATTGTCGCAAAGACACGAAGAGGTACTTGGTAGTCGAAGTAGAATTATATTTAACATGCATTTAAAAGTGTAAATAGTTGTGACATCGGGGTTATCGAACGTAATAATTTTCCAGGAATTAGTCAAAATCTCGAGAGGCTGGAGACCTTGCGCGATTTAACAAGAAAAGCAGATCCTGACGATGACCACGAGACCACCCGGTAAGTAGTGCCCTAACCCCGACCTAACCCTACTTCGTTTCTTTTCTCCCTCTCTCTTTGTACTTTAAGCATTACGCAATTCATAATTTTCCGATTGAAACAAACAGATCTAATCTCTGTGTCATAATTTTCAAAAAATACTAATTACAATTCACGAAGTGTCAGTATGCAAATATGTAATTTAAAAAAGTTTATATAATATAGTATAGAACATTTCTCTATACTTATGCAAGTAGTAACACCGATGTTGATTTCGCAGCCATGTGCCGAAGCCAGTCTTTCACATGAATGGAAAATCTAAACTCAGTTCACAGAGGCATCAAATGCAGGAAGTTATAACGCCGCAACACGAGGAACTTATTAAATTTGTTTACGAATGTAGGTTGAAAATATTTAAATGAAATACGTTATTGTATAACACATACACGCACACGTTCTTGTATATAAATATATATTCCATATATATATATATACATCAATTTATAAAAGAGAGGAACAAAAAGAATAACTTTGGATTTTCATTCAATAAAGTGTAAAGGAATGCAATTTATCCAACGTATAATGCATAACATACAATATTATATATTTATGTAAAGTATATTACGTTTATGGTTTTTACTTATTAGCATGGAATCAAGTGAATACAAGGCAAAGAAGTGAATCGTCAGATGGTTCAGATTGTTCAGAACCCTCCAGTAAGTAATATTTAAAAGTACTTAATGAATTTTACATATTTGTTTATTTTTCAAAATATACGCAGATATTTATAGTCTTGTTTATATACAAGGCTGAATGTACATAGTCTTTAAAAGTTTATTAAATGTCTAAAATTGAAATTGTCATTTTTTGTATTTTAGGTCCTAATTCTATAGTATATTATAATGATGGTGAACCAAATGATACTCTTCAAGGTGAACTTGCTATTCTTTCTTTTCAAATATAAATAAAATTATTTCCAAAATGTTAAATGTTACATGATTATGTACTAATTAGTTACAGCAAGATATCGTCTGCTAGAAAAATTTGAATCACTCAATTCAATTATTATATTTCAGATTTCAAACCATTTGATTTGGAATCGTGGTGGGGTAAACGATTATTTAACAATATTACAAAGTCTCTTTGAGGAAAAGAGAAGCTTGTAAAAGTTCTGAAGATAAATATTGAAGTAGTACAGAATGGCAGACAGTGCTAGAAATTAGCCTGTTTCCCGTTCTAAATGCAATCTAAGAATCACTGAATTATTGCATAGTGTTAAACTCGAAGTTTAGAAACGAACTTGGTTTGCTAAATATTACAATTGGTGAATTTATATTCTCATATAATGCATACATAGTGTATTCATTGCAATGGATTACGTATTTTTTTAATAGAACTGTTAACAAATTTTCTTAATATATGCGAGGCATCGAAGTTGAATTTAATTATTGAAATTTTTGTACACATGTGTATGTATATACATAGTACAGTGTTTTTTTTTTTTTTTTTTGAAAAATTTTAACAAACCCGCGTTAAAAATGATTTGCATAGATCGAATATGCATTTTTATCGACAGTGGTATTGAATAAGTGATACAACAATACAATACAAATTAGATTTCTTCATATTTATAAAGATGCTCCAATTTTAACCAATGTAAAAGTGTACAGGAACTTTCTTTAAATATATAAAAAAAAAGTGCGAAATTCAAATTGAATAACAAAATTTATGAAATACAGGATATGATCACCAATTTTGTTATTAGGAAACAATTATAGGTTTTTTAAATACTGAAGGTGAATATATAGTTCATAAATGCATACCAAATAGAGTTAAGTAAATACAGCAATCGCTGCGTGGTATGAATGCAGCGTGAAAACAATGAATTTTTAATCATAGAATGATGTACATATTACATGCATTGTTTGTGTGAATGCATGATCCTTTGCTGATATATTGTTATGACAATTATATCTAAATACTTTTACTTAAACAAAAGTTTAGTATAACTTTGTAGACTGATAATGTTTAAGATTGTCATACGATCAACAGACAAGATAAAACTTGTCACTATTGTATTTGCAAACTTTGTTTCCAGAATTCTTATTTCACGTTGATTTCAATTAATCTTTACTGGGTTTTGTGCATCGTTTTTAACTTTTATTTGCATACAACAAATATATAAGTAAAGATTTCAACGTGAAATTAAATATTTTTGAAAAAAACAGAGTTTGCAAAAGTAGTCAAAGTGTAGTGCAATATTTGGCCATGCAAGGCTGAATTATACCATTATAAATAAATACATCTTTATATACACCGATTTTTTTTTTTTCAACCTTTAATATTTTCTTTGACTTTGTATTTCAAATTTTATGTTTATATTATTTGTTTTTAATAATTGTGAAGGCTGTATAAATGGATATTTAGTTGTCCTTAAATTTGATCGATAATTAAATTATAACTTGCGAATGAATCTTTTACAGGTACGATCGGATTAGGCCAAATATAAGGAAAACGGTGGGTCACTTTGTGGTATTGATTTGTTGATCCACGCACGAAGTCGCGGACACTATATTTCTTTAATCCGTTTTCTTTTCTATTTCCAATTTTTATTCTTGTGGTTCCTCTCTTTAATTCAACTTACAATTTCTAAAATTGTACCTTCTAATACTGTAAAATGTTTATCGAGGTTTATTAATATCTAAATAATTGGATTGTATTCTTGGTTAACCTCCTCTATACGTAAACGTAAAATATTAAATGCAAATCTTCTTAAAGTATACGATTCTTAACGTTACATATTTTCTTATAAATATTTGCGCAGAATTGCACTACAGTGAAAACTCGATAAATGTCCTCAAGAGCTGTTCCATAAATGATAAATTTTTATCCCCACCACTAGGGGGATCCCCCTTGAACCAGCGAGGCGAAGTGTAACCGGAGACGTAGCGGCTTTCTTTAAAAATCTTTATTGCCTTCGTCATCTTAGTTTAAATGTCCCTGTCAGTGTGACCACACTACTGTACAAGAGGAAAGTTTTTTATTTTTTACTTTTTTTTAATAAAAATTTTACTATCATGTGGGGAAGATTTTTCTAATTAAAATGTGACTAAACACGATATAAATCGGCCAATATTTGTTACCATAATATTGAATTAAATATTGTGTACTCGTATCTTCGCAAGGTCAGTGGATTGGTACATTTATCGAACAGTGGTAGCTAACGAAACCCCCTATTTCATAAGTGTTGCAGTTTTTGATCACTTACGAAACGGTGGAACCGTTCCGTTTGAAAACAGCTACCTCCCGTTCGATAAACGTAGCCAGCACCTCGATGCGTCGTTCTTTGATATTTCCGAACATAGAAAAGGGCAGCACAAGAAGGATAAATAAAGAGAGAAAGACTCGCAAGTACAATATTTAATTAAATATTATGCTACCAAATATTGACCGATTTATATCGCGTTTAGCCTCATTTTAATCAGAGAAATCTCCCCAACATGATAGTGAAATTTTTATTAACAAAAAGTAAAAAATAAAAAACTTTCTTCTGTGCAGTAGTGTGGTCACACTGACGCGTATATTTAAACTGGGGCGATAAATCCGAGTTTCAGTCCCTCTTTCTTCTTTAGCTACTGACTCTTTCTACGTTCGAAGCGTCGGCAAACTACAATCAAATTCGAAAGACGATTCTCCTATTCCGTAAGTGTTGCTGACCGGACCCGGAGTAGCGACATTTATCGAGTTTTCACTGTACGTATCTGAGAGACGGTTTTCGTGTTAAAATATGTGGGAAGAAATGACAGAGAAAAAACTTTTGGAAATAGCAGCTGCACACAGTGGTTTGGTAGTATTTGAAGGCTGTCGAACAATTTTACGTAAAGATTATAAAAATATGACTGGAAAAGTAAATATTTTCTATACTTAAAGAAGAATCATTCGATCGTAAAGTAATATGTTATGCATTTAATAGGTCAAGATAATATGTGGTGGTAGAATTGAAAATAAATTACCATATACAGAATGTGTAGGTCCTGGTATGTTGACAGCTGCAATTTTAGGAAGTACTTCTGCACCTCCACAAAATATTATATCGAGAGTTATTGAAGAATTTGAATTTGATTATTCTTCCGGTAACGAAATATATTTATATTTAATTATTTTTATAATTCGAAGCAATTCATTGCCATACGATAACATTTACTTGCAGGGATATTGTTAATCATAGATAATTACGCAGAGTATCCGATAAATTTTAATCTAGCTAAATTTTACGCAGAGGGAAAGGGATATATTGTCAAAGTAATTCAAATACCTACAAATTATTTATTATCTATTACCAAGGAACAAAGTTTCTTAGTATTACTTTTTCTATATAAAATAGCTGGAGCTATGTCGGAAGAAGGAAAAACCATAGATGAGATTTATAATATTTGCAAATATGTCGTAACTAGCGGAGAAATAGTTTCTTTGAAAACAGGTAACAAAATATTAAGAAAACTAGACCATACAGGGTATCCCACGCAACTGGAACAGAACTGTTGGGAATAGAAAAATATGTTATAAGTCAAAGTTAAATGGTATCTGTATAAATACATAAATGATTTACGTGTTATAGCGTATGAAAATATTCACGAAGAATGTGAAATGGAGGTGTTTTCAAATTTAGCTAAGGAAATATTTAAATCTACGAACCAAGATGAAAGAACTAAGAAAATATATGAAACAAACGCTCCATTTTCTATTAATGCACGCACAAATGATATTGCAATTATGGTAAATAGCTTAGGTATTGCAAAAAATACGTATTATCAGTTGTATTTATTTATTTAAATTGGTGGTAGTATCAAGGTCTCTTCACAATTATTTAGGATACAGTCAAGTCAAATCTGGATGTCAATCATTTGATCTTACTATGTCCTTGAACACGTCTACGAAGATCAATGTCCATTCTTTTAATTGAAATCTATATTTTATTGCAACGAGACGTTTTCATTCTGATTCATTTTTTAACGAGTCCAGTTGCAGGACATATCCGTTCACTGATGACAGATTTTTACCACAGACCACTGATACGCTTGATATAAAAATGAAAGGCCCAATAATAAATGATGAATCTGGGAAAATATTTGTATCAATTATACTAATGGCGTGCGAAGCAATAATAGCATGCATAAGACAATTGAATAGAATGGATCAAGAATTTGGAAATGGAGATTATGGTACAAATATTGCTTGTGGAGCCCAAGTTGTAAAAGATAATATTCAGGTTAATATTATAATTTATTGAAAAAGAAAGTAATTCTTAATATTTAATCAAATAAAATTTTTCAGGAGAATAAAATATTGGGGATAAATCCATATGCAACCTTTATGCAAATTGGTCATATTATTCACAGAACAGTGAATGGTTTGCATGGAAAACTTTATGCTCTATTTTTGTTTAATATTGCTAAAGTAAGAAAGAAACCATTAACCATTACATTAGAATTTAATATTTTAAAGATATCACATTTTTTAGGTTTTTTCAGAATATGAAAGCAATAAACAAATGACAGCTGATATGTGGTTCGATGCGCTGATAGTTGCCTGTAAAGAGATGGAACAAATTCAATTACCCAATATAGCAGAACGATCTATGATATCTGCTTTGGTAGAAGTACAATTACATTTAACAAATGTATTAAATGAAAATGTAGACCCTATCAACGCGTTTGGTGTAGCTGTAAGAACAGCTGAAAAGTTTGCTATGAATACTGTACGTACACAATCCCCTAGTATAGAAATGTATAGTGTGTGTCTTATTTTTTAACACATTTGTTTAGTTTAATTTACACAATAACATGTAATTTACGAATGAAAATGATATCCATTGTTCGACAAACTGAAAAGTTTATTTAACATATGTTACAGAAATTGAAATATCCTTATCCTCAAGCACATGCTATAGGTATATGGATGAGAGCTGCATTTGAAGGTATTAAACTGAAATTATCGTATACCACAATGTAAAATAGAAACGTTTTATAATAATTTTTATTTCCTTGTCATTTTTGTAATATAAATGTTTTTAATAAATATTTAACAATGATAATGATCACTATTATTATGCTTTTAACGTATACATTACAGCATAACTGATAAATATTTCGATAGTATTACACGTTACAGCTTTCCTACGTAAATATATTTTTGTTTTTACTTGCGCAAGATCGTCAAAATTGCTTTGTGCATACGAACACGCTTTCCGGCCAAAAGATATAAATGTGTGTAGAGTATGTATAAGAGACTATCATGTCACGTGCTCTTGGCTTGTCTTTATTCTTGTCTTATCACGTGAAAAAACTAAAAAAAGTGAATTTTGCTGTATTCTAAAACATAAATTGTCATGGACGAATGATACAATTACATTCTGTTGCTACATCAAATACATTTTATAACTAGAATCGTAAACAGAGGTTAGGTTCGAAGTTATAGTTTTACATTCGTAATTGTTTGATATGTACAATAAGATTCGAATAGCTTGTTCAAATATTATAAAAGCATTATAATGTTTCTATGCGAGAAGTGTATATATTTAAAATGATAGGGATGATAAAACTATGAAAGTATATGGTCGGTTGATAATAAATTCGTAATATTCGCTAAAAGAAAATGAACGCTGTGATCGCATTATGTATTTTTTGTGAATCACACGGTCCGAAAGTGATATTCACGACTCAAACATACCGTAACTATGACAATCAAAGTACAGAGAAATTAAAATTTTATGGACCTAGAGAAATATTAAGACGAAGTCAGAATATTGTGGAAGATGGACAATATGAATGTGAAGGATGCCAAAGTATTGGTAATGTAAAATATTTGAGTAATGAACATGAAACTAGGACATCGTTCCTTTCTGCTCAACAATCATTAACACAAGATGTTTGGTGTTTGTTAAAGCATGCTTGTTTTAGGTATAATAACCGTAAAATATTATTTATCGTATATTTTTAATAAAGTTAAAAAGTTTACGTTATTGTTTAAGGAGTTTAAGTTGCGAGGTACATCCCGGCAAAGAAGGTGTTTGCTACTTTGGAGATGAATACAGGGGGCATGTTTTAAGTCATACGTTTACGTTAAAAGATGCCCAGGTGAATTATGCAACGAAAAAGCATGTTTGGTAGCTATTACAATAAATTATTCAAATCATCTCAATAATTATAACGTTAATGACTAGAAAATAATCGACGATGAATTCCATTGGCACGAATAAATTTTTTTATTTTACAGGCAAGAGGTTTTCGAAGGTGGTGCAGTTTTATCGTATTCATGAGAGACAAACAGTTTCTTTTAAATATGTGGCCATTTTTAGTTGACAATTTGAAGGAAGTAATTCGTGAATTACAAGATTTCGCTGAAAAAAAGTACAACGCAGAGGAAGCGGAATGTCCGCAAAGAATTGTTCGTTTAACAACGGCTAATAATGGATCGAGATCATATAATAATTTGAACAAACAACCGAGAACTTTTAGTGATATAACTAACGAGAAACATGTTTTTATAAGGTTTGTTTTATATTTGATATACAATATACGGTAATGTTTATGAAATAGGATGTTAACAAATTACAATTAAATCAGAATCCACATGTGGCTGGTATGGATTCTTAGCGCAGGAGCAAGACATTTTATAGAAATTTTTCCCATGAGCTTTTTAGACGATGAACTGAGTTACAATTTGGGGCATCAAATTGGTTAGCATCATAATAAATATATTTATGAAAAATACATCTGAATTTATTTTCAGTTAAACGAATCTTTTACTTTTCAGAAACTGAAGAAGGATTTACTTTGGTAAATGCTAAATTACCTGTAAATTTAAATTTGAATTCAAACGAATCGGAAGCAATATCAGAGTTCTCGGAAGTTTTAGAAAAATCTACTACAGTGATACTCAGAAATTTAAGAAGTATATTAGGAAAGGATCAATTTAGGCAACTTTTATATTCCAGTTTAACAGGTGTACAAATTTTGGTAAGAGGTCCAAGTATTCAAAGGTTGGAATCTTTATATGGACTTAGTTCTCTTATTCCATGTGCGTGTCGAAGAGTCAAGGCTCGAGCGACAGAATATATGGATCCTAATAAGTGTAACTTTATTGGTATTTATATATTTTTATAAAATATTTAAGTATCAGTTGCATTATTGAACATTTTCCATAAGTCGTATCATCGATTTCAGGTATGGACACTTCGGTGGCTGTTCCTCTACCTTGTGCAAGTGTATGTAGATTAGATATTATATCTGATGAACATAAAGTTGAAAACACACAGTCACATATCGTCAGATGGACGGGTTCGTTGCCACTGAAACTTCCAACATTACTAACGAAGATTGAAAAATCCCTTGACAATGAAATACTTGGGAATTCTACCCTTAAAGCACATTTTGCCGCATTACAGGAGGAATGGGCGAAGTATAATTACATTAGAAATGCTTTAAAAAAATTTTCTTTACATATTTTTAGATTCGTAAGTTAAAAGTATAATTTTTATTATGATTATAGCATTGCAAAAGTTGTTCATGCCATGCGAGGCCGTGGTCATAGCGGAGACCTTTCTGGACTTATGCTTAGTTTAGGTGCTGGTCCTCACGATAAAAAATTGCTAGATGCTTGGTCGATGGGCTTGCCACCAAACCCAGCATAATCTTTTATTTAATTGACAATATTTTATGCATTGTAGAGTACTATTGGGTTTCATATAATTTAATGTATGATATGTATTCTCTTATATCTTCAATTTGTTCTTCAATATTTATATATTTAAGGTTGTGCATCATTTTTGTATTTATAATATAGTAAAAAATAAGGGCAAAAACTGATGTCAATATAGAATAAATTATTTTACATGCATTACTGGTAACTAAGACTTTACATCCATCTTTATAAAATTATATAACATCTATATGATACCGCAATAAAATTATATCAAAAGTAAAGTCTAATGAAAATTTGTTTGTAGTAGTAGTAGTAGTATAACTTTATTGCCTTCCCCTTAGGGTTACAAGCACTCCTCCTTATCTTACAATCTTCCTTACAAACCTTCCTTAACCTAACTTATCCTTTTTTTTTTTCATTTTAATGCTTCCCCTTAGGGTTACACCTACTCCTTATCTTACACCTACAGACCTTCCTTAACCTAACTTATCCTACTCTTACACTACCGCTCCGCACGCTTTTACCCCTTTCTCTCATTCCGCTCGCTCTTAACCTACACGCTCTCTCTTTCTCTCTCTCCTTCATTCTCCCCTACGCCTCTACTTCCGCTCTTTACCGCCTTTGTACTCAATAATTCACTAGCCAAGGATGGATTTCAAACATTCATACCTAAATTTAAAATTGAAAAAACAGGTCTCGTCAGAGGTGTCCCAACGGACGTTACCATGGAGGAGTTCATGGAGCAGTCCATCTCGCCCTGCCGAATCCTAAAAGCCCACCGGATGAACAGAAAAACCATCAACAACGAAACCCAAGCATGGGAATGGACCCCCTCCGAGACCATCTTGGTAACGTTTGAGGGCGTGAGAATCCCAGATTACATCAAGCTGTTTGGCCTCTGCAACGTCAAGGTTCACATCTATGTAGAACCGATTAAAACCTGCTGGAACTGCCTCAGGTACGGTCACTCCACTAAGTTTTGCAGAGCTCATAGGGTATGCAGGGATTGCGGCCAACAAGCCACAGAAGACAGGCATGAGTGCCCCATCACCTCCCAAGAGAGCGTATGTTATCATTGCAAAGGAGATCACAGAACCTTTGATCAGTCGTGCCCCACTTATCTGAAAAACAAAAAAATTAAGGAGATCATGGCCCACGACAGCCTAGGCTTCTGGGAGGCTAAAGAACTAGCCGACGAGCCTCTTAGCTCTCTCAAACCTAAGAACATCGCTAAACAGGCAAGTAATCCTCCGTTATTCCCAGAAACTGCAACCAGCTTTCCCCAGCTTAGAGAAATTTCTTTAAACAAACAATTTCACCTCAAATCTTTCGGCGGGCAATGCAGGCCCCTTCCTACAAAGACTTCATGGTCACAATTAAAACCTAACATAAAAGGTAGCGAAGACAAAACTAGCTTCCATAGCCTGAATAACACTGAGCAACATGATAAAGAGAACGTACCTGTTGAAAGAGCTACTACCAGCGACTTGAAATTCCAAAAACTTGAAAGCTTAAAGCGCTCGGAGTCAATCAAGGTAAAGTCTACACCAACGACCTCTAATCCTATAAGAACCGACACACTAAAGAATCAACTATCAACCTCACCAACCGTAGTGACGAAATCACACTCCGCTCCAAATCTTAAACAATATAAAGGAACATCGAAAATAAAAAACAATAATGGATCATCTCAGAATTCTATTGTGGAATTGCAGAAGCATACTAAATAAGACCAATGAACTCGAGAGAATTATCAATGACTACGACGTCATAATTCTAGTAGAGACTTGGCTTAGGGAAAACTACGTACTGAAGATAAAGAACTTTACAACATTAAGGAGAGACAGAGCAGGCAGCCGAAGAGGTGGTGGTGTGGCCCTCGTCAGAGACAACCTTCAACTGAACATACTGAGAGACATAGAATGCCAGGATCAAAGCACAGAGACAATAGTTGTTCAAATAACTAACCTATCTTCAGAACTGACGATAGCAGCCTGCTACAGACCACCTTATGGCAACCTCCCTTACAAGGACTGGGACAATTCCTCCAAAAGATAGCCAGCAGAGGCAGCTTTGTCATCGGAGGCGACTATAATGCTCATCACCCTATGTGGAACTGCCAGGACACCAATCCTTCAGGAGAAAACTTATTTAAGCTTATCAGCGATCACAATTTAGTAATACACAACGTAGACAGTCAATCCCACATCGGTGGCTTCAACCAATGCAGTAACAACCTAGACCTGATCGTCACAAATCCGGAAATAACACATCTCACCCATGCACGGCAACTAGAAGACGCGTACGGGTCAGACCACTTTCCAATCAGCTGTCAAATCAACATACAAAAGGCAATCTACAGACCCAAAAGCAACAAAATGTCATCTAACCAAACCAATTGGGAAGGGTACAAGGAGGAAATTGATTCCCATTTCCCCTTTTTCCTAAGTCAGGATTTTGACTCTCTCAACGCACTCCTAAAATACAGCACATTTTTCAACTACGCAAAACAAGCGACGACTAACCATACTCCAGCAAAAAGAGCAGCACGATTTCACCGCAGCAACCCTGCCAAATGGTGGGATGTAGAATGCGACAAGGCCGTCAGATTAAGGAAGGCAGCCCTTAAAAAGTGGCGGCACACGCTGAACATGCAAGACTGGGTCAGCTACAAAAAACAAGTCGCTATCACCAGAAGGACACTGAAAAGCAAGAAAAGGCAAGCATTCAGGTACTTCGCAGCCAGCCTAAGCCACAGAACCAATTTATCCTATCTTTGGAGAACTGTTAAAAACTTTAAGAACAGATGGGCGAACGCGACTGCCTCAGACGTATCAGGAGAGCAGATAAGGATAAACGAAGATGCTGCCATACAGAAGCTATGCCCACCATGGGTTCCGGATAGACCTCCGGATGACTACACTTCAGCCGAAAACATATTTCTCGACCAACCTTTCAATTTCACAGAATTCCTGCTTGCAGCTAGTCGATGCAAAGAGGCGTCCGCTCCAGGCCCAGATCGAATTGAGTACAAAATGATCAATAACCTGCCAACCAGATGCAAACTACTCCTACTCGACATTTTCAACGAACTTTTTCGACACCAGCTTATACCGGAGGACTGGAAAGAATCCCATACGCTCCTAATACCCAAATCAAACGGCAACAGTCTAAGACCAATCGCTCTCTCCTCCAATCCTTGCAAGCTCTTCGAAAGACTCATCAACAATAGGTTACACTGGTGGTGCGAATACAACAAAATTCTCCCTAACTCTCAATCTGGTTTCAGAAAAGGGCGCTCCTGCCTTGACAACATAGGAATACTCACCACATTAGCAGACATAGGACACCGGACGAAAAAATACACCCTTGCGGCACTCCTGGATGTCAGCAGCGCATTCGACAACGTGCAAAGGAGCATCCTCCTGCAAAAACTCGCAGAACATAACATTAAAGGCCACACACTGCATTTCATTTCGCAGTGGATGTACGAGAGAAGAACCAGCTTCATTGGAAATGAATACCTTGAAAAAAACTTCAAAAATCTAAAAGTTCATAAAGGCGTCCCTCAGGGAGGGTTGCTCAGTTCCCTACTTTTTAACTTGTACACAGGGAGCATCATGGACAACCTCCACGAGAGTGTCCTCATCACACAATATGCAGACGACATTGCAATATCTACACAGGACACCATTTTTCAAAACGCCAAAGAACGACTGACAGAAGCCATCTCCACTATCAAAAGCAATCTTGAGAAAATAGGGCTACAGCTCTCACTGGCCAAAACAGAAATATTATCATTCAACAATTCCCCGACGAGACCTCTACAAACTGATATACGCATAGACGATCATACCATAACAAGTAAACCGGCAGCAAGATTTCTGGGAGTTCGTATCGACCAGCATTTAAATTTCAAGGCTCACTCGCAAAAAATTCTCGTTCAAGGCTTCAAAATGCTTAATGTGCTAAAATTTCTGAGAGGAACACGGTGGGGGTGCGACCCTGAAACCTTAACACTGATCTACAGATCACTAATTCGCGCCAAAATAGAGTACGGCATCATGTGGTACTATCCACGTGACAAGAAAACGAGAGGGCAGCTAGAACGCATCCAAAGCAGTGCCATAAGAATAGCAACGGGATACAGAATCTCCACTCCAAAAAAACGTAATAATGGCAGAAGCCAAAATAGCATATCTAAAAGACAGAGCTACTTTCCTGGGGGCCAAGTACCTCGCTAAATGTATCTCCAATAGCTCACACCCCTTCCTTAGCACTCTAGTGCAGTTCTGCGAAACATACAGAATGCAGCAGCATAGGAGCAACCCTCACCCACACAAGGACAGACCTCTAGTAAGAAGCCTAAAGGCGATAGAAGACTTCATACCTCTCATAGATACTCTACCTGACTTCCTACCCAACACAACAGACTTCTCCACTCTTGTATTCCAGCCAGAAATAGCCACTTCCCTCTCCAAATCCCTTCAAGCCTCTGCAAGACCGGCAGAAGTCTTTTTGGACATCACAAATACCTTCTTCAGAAACCACATAATGATATTCACTGATGGGTCCAAATCGGTGGACAGTCCCGCTGTCGGCGCAGCTTGCATTGTGCCCCAAAACAGCTACATCGAAGCCACGACACTTCCAAAGTCTGCCTCCGTCTTCACGGCAGAATGTGCAGCCATGAAGATGGCAGTGGAATATGCACTCAGAAACCGGACAAAGTCATACTTGATATGCACGGATTCGCTCAGTGTGTTACAAAGCCTGCAAAAAGCCCCGCTCACACCTCAATCCAACAGATACATAGCAGAGATCACACTCATGTGGGTCCCCTCGCACAGCGACATTGAAGGCAATGAGCTCGCTGACTCACTCGCCAAGACTGCCTCGTTCTCCACATCAAACTGCTGCATCCCATATACAGACATCACACAACACCTAAAAGAGAATATCGACCATGTTTCAGAGGAGGAGTGGAAAACACAGGGAATTTATAAAGGGACCCTATTTTTCAGGGATTTCTACCATAGAACAAGACACCCCTGGTTTTATAACACGAAACTTCCAAGACGGACCACAGTCTGGATAAACAGAGCTCGGGCTGGGCACCACAATCTGACGGCTTCTCTTGCAAGGTGCCATATCATAGCAAGCTCGGCTTGCACCTGCGGATACAGTGAGCAGACCCTAGACCATATTCTGTGGGTCTGCCCCCTGACTAAAGATCAGAGGGAAACCATGATAAGAGATCTGGAACATATCCGCAACAACCCAACATTAAGGCGCTCCTGATCATTGATGCGTTCCTACTCCACCATAAACTGTTATTATAATCTAGGCATAAGTAGTTAAATAAGTACAAATAAACTAAGACTGAATAGGTTAAGTAGGCTAATATTCAAAGTATGTACATACATTTACAAGTGCAATTACTAAAAAAAAAAAAAAAGAAATGTATAGTCAATGTACCAACGAAAGGGACACATAAGCCTGAAAGAGACTTAGTTGTCGTTAATAAAAAAAAAAAAAATGCTTTACCGCTTATCCTTCTCCCGCTCTACTCTCTCACTCCTTGCCCTAACCTCAAATTGCTCGCTCCCTGCCTGCCTTTCCCACCCAGCCCTTTTCCACGCCCTTTCTCACCCTTCACAACCTGCTCACCCCCGACCTCCGCTCAAACTTTCCACACCCTACTCTGCTTGCTAACACCTTTTTTCACCTCTTTCACTCGCACCGATCACTCAACCGTCTCTACACTTTCACACCGGAAATGGAAGTCCGAAAATTTGTTTGTACTTTCTGATTTATATAGAGGCATGAAAATAGAATATACTGACTAGACTATAGTGAAATAGTTTTCATTCTTGATACTAGAGAGCGCTGTCAGATTACGTATGTCGCCACTGCAGATACCTATTTACATTCAAAATCTGTGTGTTTGTGATTGAATAAATACAAGTACGAAACTGTTTTTTTAAATCTTAACCACCCCTCATACTTGACAGGGGCATATACTAATTTTTATGTGGTTGTCTATAATAAAGTGTGAGTTGACATCTAGATACTTATATTTGATAGGTAAATAAGTACAAAGTATAAAATGTCGCAACTAATATAAGTTCAATAATATTGAGATGAATGTAACAGAAGTTGTTGATCGTATCGGTAAGATATACGGATTTAAAAGAGAATTAGAACCTGACAAAATTATTGGAACTGCACATTCAAGTGGTGAATTGATGTTTTTAATGAAATGGTTAGCTTTGGTTTAATATGTACATCGTGGAAGATAATTGTATTACTATTATAATTTAGTTTCTTTTTATATAGGAAAGGAACAGATGAGATAGATCTGGTCGCAGCGAAAGAGGCAAATTTACTCTGTCCACGAATAGTTATACAGTTCTACGAGGATAGACTTTCATGGCATATCACGAAGCAAAATTCAAAGTAAAACAACTTGCTTATTTATATTTTTAAGACGGATCAAATTAATCCATTGATCGCTTGTTTTAAGCTAAATATATGTATAACTATAAAGAATGGTAGTTTTTAAAGATATTCCTTTCTTATTAATTTTTCCAATCAAGAATAAATTCTTGAGATTTGTATAATGATGTTTTGGTTCTATTCGTGCGAACTTTCATCATATTTACTTCATCGGGGTAGTGAAATAATTGTAAAAATTATGTAATGATCAACCCTCATTGATATTGTAGCATAAATGTCTTAAGTATATAAGTAATGTATAAATTAACGGTGGTTTTAAATCTATATTAACTCATATTAGGATATGGATAGTCAGGTGGAAAAATTGTAATCTTGTCAATAAAAAAATGAGTAAATCAAAATGTAGTTCAGAGTAATACAAAAGACCAAAAATACGTAGAGAAAATATGTTGTACACTAAAATACTTATACACGCTCCTGGAATACATACACGTTTCTGGAATTCATCTTTGCTTGGAAAGATCAATAGGAAAGGAATGGCTATCTTTTTCTAGGATTATGTATGTATTCTTAGGAGATATAACAGTAATTGAAAAATATAACACAATTAATATAAAATTCAAAATCTGTGTGTTTGTGATTTTTCTATAATTCTTATTATTTTTGTTCGATACAGATGAAATTTCGTTTAGTTGTTCATTATGTTCCAATGGAAAGTATGAGTTATTTAATTTGTGAAAATATTAGTTATACGGCAGACTATAAAATTTCATGAAGTTCTAATCGAATATAAATTTAAAATCTAAATTACACGTATACGACTCAACTTTGTTTCAGCCATGACAAAGTAAATACCTATGCAAAATTGAAAAAAAGTTCTAATTTGTCTAAGATAATGCGTAGGAGGAAGCGAAGTAACATTGGACAAGTAAATTCTGTATCTAAAAGAATAAGAGCAACAGAAACTCCTGAAGATCGTGAAGCCAGGCTTAAGCAACATCGAGTTAGAATGGCTTTGTCAAGGGCTACAGAGACAACTCAACAACGCCAAGCTCGACTAGACCAGCAGCGAATAAGGACTGCTTTGTTGAGAGCTGCGGAAACAACTCTACAACGTCAGGCTCGACTTGAGCAAAATAGATTAACAACTGCTTTGTCAAGAGCAACAGAAACAAGACTGCAACGTCAAGCACGTCTCGAAGCAGACCGTATAAGACATGTTCAAAGAAGAATCATGTCTCTGGAACGGCAGAATGTGTTTATGGAAGACCAAACAGTTAAAATTAAGGAAGAAAAGGTGTTGAACATGACCGAGTTGGAAACTTTTTAAAAGATCCTAGAATTTTTACACAGAATGTAGGTTTATAAGGAAATTTTATAAATAATGTACTTTATAAGAAAATTTTACAACTACAGATTTTTATGTAAATAAATAGAAGTAGAAACATGTTTCTAAATGTTAGTCATCCGTTATACTTGATAGGAGAATGTACTAGCTTATTTATATTTAATATTAAATAAACTATATTATAAAAGGTTATTAAAATACTCAAATGTATTCGATATTTTATTTACTATTTAAATTCGTTTAAAGCAATTCGATATACATGATATTTATATGGTGGTACATTTAACTCAGAATTGCAATTAGTCATGCTTTTTGTTGATTTTTAAAAAAGTCCTGCATAATTTTCAGAAGCAAAACAGATGTTCATATGACAACCTTTCACATTTAATCAGAATGCTTACTGACGCCTTTTTGTTGCACATGCGCAGAACAACCCAACACGAGAGATGGCAGTCATTGTAAGATGGAGTCCCGGCCCGACCACACTGCCACAGCCGACTCTAGTAAGTACTAGCCGTGCTATGGAACGTGGCAACACCGCTCATGTGCGGATCGGGAGTCCTATTTTCAATAGTGGAGTTTTGTGTTCAGGATTATAATTAACGTTATTTTGCGATATAAAATTATACTAATATACAGTATTTTATATTAATTATGTATAAGGAATATATGAATATCATAACTGTAGTAAGTAGAAGTAATACAGAAGTATATTAATATTTATAAATGTGGTATATATTTTGTGGACTGTCGGAATAGTTTGGTGTTGTGATGCATTATATTTGAAATATTTACAGAGATTTCAAGAAAATAGAAGTGTGAAACAAGTTAAAACCATCTTCGAACCAAACTGAAGGATTTAAAAATTGATAAAGGTATGTATAAGTTAATAGAGACCTGAAATAGGCAAAATTATTGGTACGAAGCCAAACAGGTTAAGTGCCCGTGGAAAAAGAGGTTAGCATAATTAGCTATTGAAAGGAACAATTATGGAGTTAATTATAAAATCGTGTTAGAGGACAGTATGATAATTGTGAAAAATTTCCTCACCACCCTAGGGGTATTTACCACGGCGCGTTACCTTTTTTTTTTTTATTATAATGGGTGGTTCGCCAATAGCCGTATCATCCCATTTTCTAAAATAAAATAAATATTTTTAAATAGAACATAACAATAACATAACTTTTGTATTCTTAAAGAAATAGAGTATTACATTTTGAAATAATAATAAATAATTTTGAATAATATTAATAACAAAACATATCAAAACATACTTTGAAATTCTCTTGAAATACAACTAATAAAACTTTGAATCTTGCGAAATAGTATTCATAATAAAAATATACTAAGCAAGTAAATAAAACTCTATTAATGTATTAAAACATATTGAAAGGAATAAGTTAAATATATATAAAAATTAATGTTTTAAGAAAGATGAAATTAAAAAAAATCATTGAAAATCTAGTTCCTATTAAAAGTTTTTAATTTACGATTTTTAGAAGCGATGTCTGTACGTGTTTCCGACTGACTATTATTTACAGTTTTCACATAATCGTTTAATAAAATATTTGAAAAAATTGATAATAATTTAAACGAAATACTTTGGTAAGCTCGACCACAAACGCATGTATCTGAAAATGCTAAATAATGTATGTCTGATTGAATGCTAATATATGTTAATTTACATAAAATATGTTTATTTTCATTATTCTTCCATTATTGCATACATATGAATAAATGAGGCTATCGCTTCTTCAGTGGGGACAGAAAGGCCCCCCCTCTTTGTAAGTGATCAAAATATACATCGCCTACAGTTTTACCTTTATCCTCCGCAACTAATAAACGACATATATTGCAATTTAAATTTTTTAACAACAGAATGGGGCCCATAACCAGAAATATAAATTTTAATGGAATCATCTACAACACAATCGGACAAGTATTCGGTATCGAAGATTCCTGAGAAACAAGTGACATCAGTGGGAAGATCATGAAGATCGTTATTATTGTCATCACAAATTCGAAATTTATTTTTGATTTCAGTAAGAGAAAACGAATTTGCCGATTTTCTAAATATATGTTTTAATCTAATTTTTTTTTCTGCATGAATTATTTCGTTATATGACACATGATAATTACAACCAGATAAAAGTCTATAATTTCCAAATCGTTTTTCTAATTTTTCGGTCGTAAAATGGAGGGTACTACGTTCCTTATAAGCCTCGGACATCTCAACAAAACATTCTCCAGTACACCATTGGGCGATAGAATACCGTGGTACCTTTCAATATCAGTTTCTGCAAAATGCAAACTACGGACGGCAGAATATTTTGATGGTGTCCAATTCTTACGAGGAATAGCAACCCTCCATTTCTCCCGCAATTTCTCATCTTTGGGGAATAAAAATATAGAATTGTAATTATTATCTTTTAAGGTACTATCATAATTTCCCTTGCAATTGGGAACACAGCAACGCCGTGGCATTATTAACGAATATGTGAAATTTATAAAAAAAATGTATATAAAACAAATTGTCCAAAAATGCTATAGATTATATTAAATAAGTGTGCTACACGCCAAAATCAAGATCTGTAGAGTTAATATAAATAAATGAAACACCTGGATTATTGATCCGTTGCTCACATTTAATGGACTTCGGTACATTAATATTTGAAACATTTGAAAGATAGGCGGGAGACCGGAAGGCCGGTAGATGGAGCCTGTGTAGCCCAGAGGCCGGTGGGTAGTGGGAGGCTGTTACTGTAGGTTGGGCTAGATATATCGAAGCCGGACTCCCGCGGTGTTGCCATTTTACCTTCAGCACGGCTAGTATTGTCCTCCGCTCACTTGAAGTCCCGCGAGACGGCACAGGGGCAAGGGGATTCGGACCGCCCATTTATCTGTCTTGCTCACTTGCTCTCAGGCAGTCCACATGTGTGTGTAACTGCCGCGACGAATAGCGAGCTAGAGACCAATGTGTGCGTGGGAATACGTGTGCCCCTTCTACTTCTCCCGCATTCCTTCCGCGGGGCTTCAAGTGAGCGGAGGACATACTTCCTTACTAGAGTCGGCTGTGAGGCGGCACTTGAAGGTTTTGAGCCGGCTGAACCCGGGAAAATCGTGTTGGCCTGTTTGAGTTTCAGGGTCAATCAGGCCCCGAGGATGGATAATGTCCCCAGGAGTTCAGAAATGTAAGGTTAGAAACGTTAATGTAAACAGTTTTGTAGAAGTAATTAATATTTATCGCATAAAGCAGTCCTAGGTTAAACGAGTTGACGATTGCTTCTTAATTACATTGAGAAGGAATAACAAACGATTTAGTTTGAACATTTATTTAACAAGCAACTTAGGTACAAGGTTTGAGGTGTACATGTTGTCTCTAAAGTAGTTTTCCCTGCATGAAACAGAAGCACGACACTAATGTTGCCTTCAAAAACTTAAATCGACCATCGCAATTGATTCTGTTACTTATCGTTTCGTAGAAGTCAAAGATCGACAATAAACGTTACAATTTTCATCTCTTCCCTAAGACAAGATTCTCAACTAGGAAATTACATTTGTAATGAAACGCGATCGTTGACTCGACCAATGAAAATTATTGTCCTTTCGTATTCGAACGGAAAATCAAGCGTAGAATGGTGAATGGAAATTCTCTCGATTGCAAGATAAATATATTATTATTGTCCTTCGTTTCTTGGAAAATACATTTGGCGAAGATCGTGCAACGACTATCGGGACGAAATCTATTATTAACGCGAAAACACCACGAGATACCATCTATATTTTCCAATAAACTTATTATTTATTCACGTGTATGATTCTTGGGTATCTTTATATTTCTTCTTATTAGACACTATTTGAATCGCACGGTATATTGTATGTATATGTATATGTATGCTCGTAGCTTTTGATTCGTTGCTTTTCGCTCACGTAACTACCCATTCCTCGTCGACTTTTAAGGCAGACTTTGAAGTAATTGACGAAAGGTGATAGTAGTATCGCTAATTTTTCATCCGACGATTCGAAAAATATAAAGTTTATTTCGTATTCTGAACACAGGACCTGTACATTTTTTCCTTCTAATTATAACACTTTTGGCGTAATCGTGCATGTTTTATTTATCGACAAAAACGTTTTTTTCGACCTTCCCGAAATCTTTTTCAAGCGTACATAACAAACTCTACAATAATTGGAATTAAAATCGCGTTTAATCAATATAAACGCACATGTAGAATAAAGATTATAATATTAACTTCTTGCTTTAAACAATATTCCTACAAGATTTTCTTTCATAGAAAATTGCTCATTGCCACATTTACATAAAGAAGTTTTCGTGAATAAATCAATCAGTGTTGTCGATAATGAATATCGTCAAAATATTAAAATATGTACTCTTCAAAAAGATTAAAATTTTATACTTTACGTATAAATGGATTAAAAAACTAATCGTTGATACGTATAGAAGACATTTTGTTGATTTAAACAATTTATTCGCTTTAAAGGTAGAATATTTAATAAAGTGTAACGATCGGTATTAAAGGGTATAGCCGAATAAGGGGGTCAAATGTGACATACGATGGATCCATCGATAGAGCATCAAGAAAAAACGTTCTCTGCCAAATTTTAACCCTCTATCTCGTTTCGAAGGATAGTTATTGAGAAAATTCGGATTAACGAATTTCTGCCCATTTCCCCTATTTAATCGAGTACAAAAATTATGAAAAAAATCTGGTGCATTGTGGTTATTGAGATACGTGTTTGAGAATTTTTTCCGATTTTTCGATTCCAAATCCTAGGTGTGAAAAATTGAAAACGCAAAAAAAACACAGAAAAATACGGATTTCGTATTGAAGCTTTCGAGACACTAGATTTCTATAATTACTGTAAATGCGTATTGTCATTGGTTATCTCCCTGAATTTTTTCCGATTTTTTGGTAGGGTGCGCCGTAGTAGGAAAAATGAAAAACCGATTTTTTCGACGTTTTTCGCGTGAAAAAGCATCTTATACTTTGAATTTTTGTATTCTCTTTAATAGATAACTATATTGTATGGTTTGAAACATTTCTATGTTGAGCAGAACATTGTATTCAAGAAGAAAAGCAAAAATAAGTCACGAAAAAAAGTGCTATGCGCGATATATTGAGAAGTATCAACGGTATTTTCAAGAGCTGCGATGGTGCAGTAAGTAAAGATGCTTGAGTTTGAGACTGCTGCAAACTTTTTGACGCGCGTTCGCGCCCTGCTAAAGTACATTTTTTTTATTATATTAATTTTGTTTTTTTTTTCAATTTCTAACTAAACTACAGTGAAAAACTATTTGTTTATTAATATTTAAAAAATATTTTCACCTAAAATATACGCTCATATTCTTTTTATTGAAGAATCTTCTTGCAGTAGGTACTGAAATTTTTGGACGAAATTAAACAATTTCCAATCATACTAAAAAAATTATATTTAGTTACAAGGATCGATTACAAGCATTTTAGGTGAATAGACATATCCCCGAAATCCTACGCGCTTTCGAGAAAATAATTCTTTACCGAAAATCTAATGTGAGGCTTCCTTGAAATCGAATCTTTAAAATGTCATAACTTCTGAACGTATTGAAGGATTTTAATGTTTGAAGCGGCAAATAACGCGTATTTTAGTGAAGAATATGTAGGCATTATAACAATAGTGAAAAAGTTGTTCCTTAATCCCGTAAAGTTAGAAAAACCCCATAAAAATGGTCCAATTTTCAAACAGCCATAACTCCAACAATAGTGAACATATTTCATTGAAAATTTGTTCTAAAGTAGACCTCATCGATGCCTATAAAGAAGTATTAGACATTTTTTCTGTAGAGCGTGAAACAAATTTATTAAAAATGAAAAACAATTTTTTAAGAAAAATCAACCAAGGAGGTAGGTGTCTAAATTTTTCGACGAAAAAAAAATTTCAAATCGTTCTGAAAAAATTATTTCTAGCTAAGGGGGTCAATTACAATTATTTTTGGTGAATAGACATACCCCCGAAATCCTTCACAGTTTCGAAAAAAAATTCAAATAAATATATCGCGCATAGCACTTTTTTTTTCGTGACTTATTTTTGCTTTTCTTCTTGTATACAATGTTCTGCTCAACACAGAAATGTTTAAAACCATACAATATAGTTATCTATTAAAGAGAATACAAAAATTCAAAGTATAAGATGCTTTTTCACGCGAAAAACGTCGAAAAAATCGGTTTTTCATTTTTGCTACTACGGCGCACCCTACCGAAAAATCGGAAAAAATTCAGGGAGATAACCAATGACAATACGCATTTACATTAATTATATAAATCTAGTGTCTCGAAAGCTTCAATACGAAATCCGTATTTTTCTGTGTTTTTTTTGCGTTTTCAATTTTTCACACCTAGGATTTGGAATCGAAAAATCTGAAAAAATTCATGGAGATAACCAATGACAATACGCATTTACATTAATTATATAAATCTAGTGTCTCGAAAGCTTCAATACGAAATCCGTATTTTTCTGTGTTTTTTTTGCGTTTTCAATTTTTCACACCTAGGATTTGGAATCGAAAAATCTGAAAAAATTCATGGAGATAACCAATGACAATACGCATTTACATTAATTATATAAATCTAGTGTCTCGAAAGCTTCAATACGAAATCCGTATTTTTCTGTGTCTTTTTGCGTTTTCAATTTTTCACACCTAGGATTTGGAATCGAAAAATCGGAAAAAATTCTCAAACACGTATCTCAATAACCACAATGCACCTGATTTTTTTCATAATTTTGGTACTCGATTAAATAGGGGAAATAGGCACAAATTCGTTAATACGAATTTTCTCAATAACTACCCTTCCAAACAAGATAGAGGGTTAAAATTTGGCACAGAACGTTTTTTCTTGGTGCTCTATTGATAGATCTTATTCGGCTATACCCTTTCTACCAATGTTCGAATCTGTACATTTTTCGACGGATATTTAAATAATTGACACGCATTCTACTTTTGTAAATTGATCTCGGTCGTAGATTTTACCTAAAAAATAAAAATGTTTCTACTTCGAAAGCAGTTGTGAATGTATTCTAAATTAGAAGGTAAATAGGAACGAGTATCACATAAATGAATGAAACGCTATCGATACGAAGACGTTCTTCGGTGTTCATTTCATCCCTTGTACAATCTTCCGCGGACTCTTAATCAAGTACCTATATTTAATACATTAAAAGAGGCAATTATAATCTACTTATGATTTCGTTATAAATTATTACAATGCCTTAGGCACTCGAGCGAACGTTTGCGCACTTTTCATCGGAAGAAAACGAGACGCAAACAGATTCGTGCAAATAATACTGTAAATGACCGTTATCGTCTTTCTGAGTAATACTTGGCTAACATGCTTAGCCCTCTGTAACCCGAATATTCCATTGTTTTGACACTAGAAATGCCACAAAAACTATTCTTCGATAAAAGGAGAAATTATCAATTTTAACTATCAGGATTCATATAATTATATTCCAAAAAGTGACATTATTCTTGTTCAGTTATTAATATAGCAGCATAAATTAATAAGTATAATCGAATACTTGGGCAAAGTAGACTCTATTTTTACGACATCTATGAAAAACTAGCCACGCACTAATAATGTCTATGAACTTAACAACGCAGTATTATTAAAAATCATAATTTTGGGTCGTTTTAATACGACTGTATATACATATATAACATTTTTTACAAAGAATATATTTATTTTCATAGATAAAATGCATTTAATCATTGAATAGCCCCAAAAATTCAGGAAAGAAATAAATGTTCTGTACATGTATCGTGAGATGAAGTGTTTTATGATTAATAGACTGCGGATCTTTATGCAAATTCACATTTTTATTAATAGAATTAATGAATTAATAATTCGTATCTTACTTTAGGTATTTCTTATATTTTTGCATATTAAATGCATTCTGTAGTTTTTTCAGGATTAAAATATCCCATACATGCATAAATATCCGCAGTCTAATGATTAATAACGTTTGGGAAACATTAGTATGTGCTGTTGGAGACTCGAGAGGAGGAAAAATCGAATATTAACGGAAGAATAGAATAAAAAAGAACAGACTATTGTGAGTGAACATCGGGTTACAGAGAGTCAACGCTAAGCTAATACTTGAAAGTTAAGCGTAAAAACATTGTACGAAAATAAATCGAATCACGGCGGCCTCTGGTTCCTATTATCGCATTCCTACTATCCTAGACCACATATTCATACTCTGAATCTCACACGCCCGTTTTCCATAAAAAATATCCTATCTGAAGCTCCGTTTAAGGTAACGGTGTATGACCCGCGGTTTCCACGTGTTTCCTTGGCTCTGTACTCTCTCCCTCGGTTTCCTTCACCGCGTTTTCCAATTCCGTTTTGCGGACCAAAGCATAGTTATTCAGATACTCTACCACTTGCATGTGCCCAAAGGTTTCCGCCTCGTCTATCGGTCGTTTTCCCCATCTGGAAACATTTCGTTTTCTTAACATTTTCACGGCCATTTTCACTTTCCAAGTGCTGAATTCATTAACGGGGCAATCTGGTTTTGAACTTTATACAGTGAAAACTCGATAAATGTCGCTACTCCGGGTCCGGTCAGCAACACTTACGGAATAGGAGAATCGTCTTTCGAATTTGATTGTAGTTTGCCGACGCTTCGAACGTAGAAAGAGTCAGTAGCTAAAGAAGAAAGAGGGACTGAAACTCGGATTTATCGCCCCAGTTTAAATATACGCGTCAGTGTGACCACACTACTGCACAGAAGAAAGTTTTTTATTTTTTACTTTTTGTTAATAAAAATTTCACTATCATGTTGGGGAGATTTCTCTGATTAAAATGAGGCTAAACGCGATATAAATCGGTCAATATTTGGTAGCATAATATTGAATTAAATATTGTACTTGCGAGTCTTTCTCTCTTTATTTATCCTTCTTGTGCTGTCCTTTTCTATGTTCGGAAATATCAAAGAACGACGCATCGAGGTGCTGGCTACGTTTATCGAACGGGAGGTAGCTATTTTCAAACGGAACGGTTCCACCGTTTCGTAAGTGATCAAAAACTGCAACACATATGAAATAGGGGGTTTCGTTAGCTACCACTGTTCGATAAATGTACCAATCCACTGACCTTGCGAAGATACGAGTACACAATATTTAATTCAATATTATGGTAACAAATATTGGCCGATTTATATCGTGTTTAGTCTCATTTTAATTAGAAAAATCTTCCCCACATGATAGTAAAATTTTTATTAAAAAAAAGTAAAAAATAAAAATCTTTCTTCTTGTACAGTAGTGTGGTCACACTGACAGGGACATTTAAACTAAGATGACGAAGGCAATAAAGATTTTTAAAGAAAGCCGCTACGTCTCCGGTTACACTTCGCCTCACTGGTTCAAGGGGGATCCCCCTAGTGGTGGGGATAAAAATGTATCATTTATGGAACAGCTCTTGAGGACATTTATCGAGTTTTCACTGTAGATATCAATGTTTCTTTCTTTTTTCTATTTCCTCGAACAGAGAAGAACAGAGAATCTGTGCTAATAAATAATTAAATGATCAACAAAACAATGTGTGGTAAGCTAAGTAGCGCTGGACTCTACTTTCCATCAAAATATTTGTAAAATACATTGAGGTTAACACTATGCCGTCCGCACGTCTAATCTAGATTTTTTTCGTGTCGCGCCGGTGGAACTGACTTATACAGGGTGTTCGGCCACCTCTAGCAAAAATTTTAATGAGCGATAGTAGAGGCCAAAATAAGACGAAAATCAAGAATACTAATTTGTTGATGGAGGCTTCGTTAAAAAGTTATTAACAATTAAATTCAAAAATTTCAAATCGTTCTGGAAAAATTATTTTCGGTTGCGGGGGTCAACTACAATCATTTTTGGTGAGTACACATACCTCCGAAATCCTATCTACTTTCGAGAAAAAAAATCGAGTAGGTGCTGATATTTTTCGGCGAAAAAAAATTTTTCAAATCGTTTTAAAAAAATTATTTTCGGTTGCGGGGATCAATTACAATCATTTTTTATCATTACACATACCTCCGAGATCGTACGCACTTTCGAGAAAAAAATTCCTTACTAGAAAATCCAATTAGGTGCGTAAATTTTTCAACGGAGAAAAAAAATTGCAAATCGTTGTGGAAAAATTATTTTCGGTCGCGGGGGTCAATTACAATCAGTTTTTGTCATTAGACATACCCACGAAATCCTGCCCACTTTCGAGAAAAAAAATAGAGAAGGTGTGAAATTATTCGAGAAAATTAACAAATTGCAAATCGTTGTGGAAAAATTATTTTCGGTTGTAGGGTTCAATTACAGTCATTTTTGGTGAATAGACATACCCCCGAAATCTTGCGCATTTTCGAGAAAAAAATTCAGTAAGAGCGGCACTTTAAACGTTAATAACTTTTTAACGAAGCCTCCATCAACAAATTAGTATTCTTGATTTTTGTCTTATTTTGGCCTCTACTATCGCTCATTAAAATTTTTGCTAGAGGTGGCCGAACACCCTGTATATTTCAGATTCATCCGAAGATGTTACCTCATTTCCCTTTTCTCAAGACGTAATGTCTTCTAGTTTTTCACAATCTTCAAATTCGTATGAAACATCAGACAAGATGTCCACACACTCATCATGTATAATTGTGTCTTCTTTTTCGTTTGCCATTGTCAAAGGGCACAGGTTTTTATGAAAATACAGAGTTGTCACGTCTGTAATTTAATGTTAGTTAAACAGAACACGCAATATTAACACTTTACCGACCGATAGCCTATTAATCGACTGTTTTACCGGCCAACGCTTACCGACCGATAGCCTATTAATCAACTGTTTTACCGACCAACGCTTACCGACCGATAGCCGATTAATCAACCGCTACCGGTCGGTAAAGTGTTAAAGACTCTCGTGCTCCAATAAATCATTACTTCAACACATAAAAAATAAAAAATTCCCCCTCGCGTCCATAATAAATCTGCAAAAATATTCCGAAACGTTCGGAAAGAAAGAAAACTCCATTATTAATTTCAACCTGCACTCGCGACAAATCGATAACACATTGTTACCAATTTAACCCCTTAACGCTCATACTTTTCGGGTTAACCAATAATGATTAGTTTTCTTTATTGGATTTGTTTCTAAAAATACGGTTTTTGTTAATTACAATGTTGTATCTGGGTTGATGCAACAGTAAAAAAAAAAAAAATGTATCTGATGTATAATTTGAAGGAAAACAAATATTATCATCCCTTAAACCGTTGGATTAAACAAATATTCTTTTTCAAAGCAGTCAAACATGAACGTTAAGGGGTTAATTCCCGTAATTACGCTTTTTTCGAGCTTCTCTCGAGTGTAATTTCCATTAAAAAAAAATTGCAAAAAAGAAACAAAAAAACGCCTCCTCGAACATCGTAGCCGACAAACGCTACGAATCGCTCAGGGACAGAGAATAGTGACGTTCGTAACGATTTCTATGTATGTGTTTCGAAAATGAGGGGGGTTGGGGGGTCGTAGGAGGTAAGATATAAAGGGTGACATAAAGTGGGGCATACGCATAGAGACTTAGATTTTCCAGGTTGACGAACGACACTGTCGCTCGATACGAAAATATTGAAATCGAGAGTTTTCGAACGGGAACAACGACCCTGGGGGTTCCCCTTATCCGCCATTTTCCGGAGTCGACGCGAACAAACCCCTAGTAGCACAAAATATTGTATACACACTCATATAATATTAAAAGGAGATTCAATCTTTTTTTAATATTCAAATATACATACAATATTTATTTTATATTAACACATTACCGACCGATAGCCTATTAATCGACTGTTTTACCGACCAACGCTTACCGACCGATAGCCTATTAATCAACTGTTTTATCGGTCGACGTTTACCGACCGATAGCCGATTAATCAACCGCTACCGGTCGATAAAGTGTTAACTTTCGTTCTACAGTTTTGAATACCACAATACAGCCATCGGCGCTTGCGCAATAGTTTCCGAATGACACCAACGTGGAGCCACCGGCACTTTCCCGACAGTTTTCGCATGGCATGTTAATAAAGTTTTGGAATTTTTAGAACCAGAAAATCAGTGTACTGTGGTGATTGTATGCTTTGGTGTGTATATTCTTAAAAAAAGAAAACATTGGGATCATATTTTGCATTATCAATCAGAATACCCTGGGAGAAATGAATTGTAGAAAATTTCATCATCACTCGATATCCGTTTTCGAAACAAAGTATGATAACGTTATTTACCTGTCCTTGGGATCGTGTGGAACACCGCATTGCTCGATCAAAAACTCGACACAGTCCAAATGCCCTTCGCTGGCAGCCAGATGCAGGGCTGTTCTTCCATCATAGTCCGATAATGTCATGTCCATTCCGCTTAGTCGATGGCTATAACCATGATAATCGTACCAATTAGCTAATAAATATTTTTTTCGGTAGTTTCCAAACGTTACACAAACTCCGTTATTATTGCATTTACGAAAAAATGCCAAAGTAGAAAGATAAATGGTTCGAAGGGCGCTACATTTGTAGGCCTTTAATTTTTTTTTGAGATGCAGCGGTGCATGTGCAATTAACAATTGCATAATTTCTTTAAATAGAAATGCATAATTTTTTTTACACAGATCGATTCTTCCGTTCATTCCGCGTAAAAAATGATTAGGGTACCATGGCAAAAAAATGATTGGATCTCGAGATATTTTCGATAAATGTCTTTATTGAAGAAGTATTTAATTTATTAAAAATGGCGGCTCACCGTCTCATCGCGGTAACGTCGCCGCTGGCCGCGCTGAACAAAAGGTTCACGATGGAGAGCCCTTTGGTTTCATATTTGTGCCTCCTCGGATCCTTCTTGTTCGTCGCGTGCTTTAGATTATCGTACCTGTGATCATAGTAGGTGCTACACTAATCGGGACGGGATGGAAAATGACGGGAGACAATGATAATAGTCCCAGTGACGTCGGCCGATGGTCGTCCGTATTTAGATTCGAAGACGTGGGCAGACATTTTGCAGGTGGGTTTTGTTCGTGCGGGTTAACGTGTAGCGAAGGTTGTGAGAAAAGCAAAGGGAAGGAAATAAATAGTTGATTAATGTGTTATCACTCACAGTCGAGATTCAAAAATAGATTTCAACTCTTTCACCACGGACGATTTTGACGCAAGAAATGAGAACTTGTAACATAATAGTTTTGAGCAGAACTCTTGTTCTCACGTTTGCAGTCGTTTAATGCGCTAAGAACACTGATCGAACGTCCATAATCGTCAACGGTAGTGAAAAGGTCAAACGAAGATAATCGAACGCGAAATCTCGTAGTAAAAATAATTAATTTCCGTGAGACATTGAATCCCAATTGTTTTTTTTTTTTATTACATTTCATTCGTTAAAAGATATTGTGTCTAAATAATTATTTAGATAACCGTTTGATGGAATAAACGTAGCGAATTTTACTCGTTTTAATACAATTTTGTCCATCTCTGTTGCTAAAGTGCTTGTAGAAAGTTTTCGCGCATGCGTGTCGAAAGTGTAAATTTCCTTCTATAAACACTGAACGTACCTATGAAAATTGAACTCGGAGACAAGTTCTTCGCAAAATTGTACACCTCGACACGAGTTGCCAAGAGGATCCAACGGTGGCGACCATGTGCAAATTCCCATTACGTTTGGAATAACTACCAATAGGCTTCCAGAAACCCCAGATTTCGCTGGTATACCAACCTGTATTCAAAACACATTTTCAATCACAATACTGCGCTGAGATAATTCAATAATTTCGAGAATTTATATAGAATTTATAATTGGACAGTTTTTATACAAAACACAAAATACTTGGGATATTTTTGAAACATCACTGTAACTTTGCTATAGTAGACCTGGAATTGGTCAGAACTATTTGTATTTATTGAAAAAGAAAAAATAGTCTTGGCTTACGTCCTCAGCGAATAAATCAGATTACAATAGTAAAAAGTACTAAAATACAGACACCAGTCACTTAATGCCAAATCGAGATTGCACAAATTGCTACACAGAGTTGATAACACATCCCTAACGGCAAACTTTTTCTTTGAAATTTTTTCATAATTTCAATAAAAATATGTTATATTCTATACAAGTATTTCCCAAGTTGGAGATTCTTTACTATTCAACTTAACTTAACTTCTTTACTATTTACGATTCTTTACTATACTATTCAACAAAATGGACACTGGAAGTAATTCCAAAAAGGATTCAGAACTTACCTTGAACGCAAATTGGCCACTGTAGTCGTACATGCCACAGCTGTGCATCAGGCTCAGGACATCTCGAACGCTGTCAGGTTTCAGGACCTTCTCCTCGGTGATGGGACATATACCGCCATTGGCTAACGTAGCCGCCATCACCGACATTGTGTCGCAGTTTGCTTCCATGGAGCAGCACTTGAAACGAAAAAAAACGTAGAAATACATATACAGCGTTTGAGAATGTTTCTTGGAAAAGAAGAGAAATTTAACCCTCTATAAAGCAAATTATGTTTACCTGTTTAATATGACCATTGTAAAAATATTAATAATGAAATATAAATTGCCAGGTAAATTTCAGTAGACAAAAATTTTCATCCGTACTCATTCTACTGTGAGATATTGTAATTACTTTTAGATTTTAATACTTCAATTGATGCATACCAACGAATAAATTAAATCAGACTTAAAAAATGGAAATAATGGGTATGTAGTAACTTGTAGTGACGCTGTGTTATAGAAGGTTAATTATTTGCATTGTTGCAATGTTGCTTTGAAGCTAATAAAATCTTAACGCCTTCTAAGGCAATAAAAAAGATCAAGTTCGAAATAATGATTTCAATGAAATAACAAACACATTGGTCCACTATAAAATGCAACTGAATCAAACGTAAACAGTTATTGTCGCTCTTGATACGCCATTCGAGCTGTTAGACATACTTGAAAGTAGAAATCCATTATTTCGCGCAGATTCGTTTTATCAGGATAGCAATTGTGCTCCCTCATGTAAAATCCAAGAGCGTAATTCCTGTCAGCAGCCTCTCGTTCAGATAGAAAGACCGCATTGTTGAAACCGAGGTTCTCTCCGCCGGCCAGCTTCTTAAAATAATTTATCGCGAAGTCGAATTTTTCCGCCAGAGTCATCTCAGGCTTTATCAGAGACTTCAGCAAGGAACAGACCAGTATCGCCCCAGCGTTGATCATAGGATTATGGGGTTTCTCTGTCGAACAAACAGTTAGTATTAACCCATTCTGTGCCAAAAGATTCATAGCTAACATTAAGTCTCGAAATTCCACATAAAAATTTCCCAGTCACTCGATTTGTAAACGTTAAACTGATAATAGAGCCTTCAAGTAGTAAACTATTCAGATACGGAGATCTTTATTACAAATTTTAGTTTGATGAAAAAATATTTTCTTATACATTGAAAAGATTTGATATAATGTTACGAGCCAGAAAATGTTTTTACCATAAAAGTACCTCGAGAACTTGGAATAGAATTAAAATCTGTAATTAGCCGTTTCTTCTTTCGTTCAGTGAGACAAACTTACTGTTATAATCCAGTACCAATTCGTTAAAGTTCCGCCCGGACGGTTCCTGGCCGACATATTGGTGAACGACTTCCTGTCCCAACCTGTCCAGAGCAATGGCGTAGGTCAGGGGCTTGCTACAGCTCTGTAATGTGAATGGAATAGACGTGTCCCCAATGCTGAACCTCTGTCCATCGATCGTGCACACAGAGACACCCCAGTAATCCGGATTCATTCTAGCCAGTTGGGGAATGTAAGAGGCAACCTTGCCCTCCGAGTTTGACTTGCATTTCCAATAAAAGTCCTCTATGTGTTTCGTGAAGCCTGACCAATCCGGGATTATGAACTGGTGTCTAAATGCTCGTGAAATCAATACTATGTTAGGATTTATGACCCTGGAATCAGAACGGAAACTTCTGTAATATTTATTTATCAAACGGATAAAGACATTTCATCTATATGTATTAATAAAATAAGTTGACTATCTTTGATATCTTCCATACACTTTTCAAGTCATATTTCTTTTAAAACTGTTAATTTAGAGTTAAATGGGAACAGACACTTTTGTTGGGAGATCTTCTTTTGTCATTTCAATTTCAAAAAATTGTATTTCGTGGCCCGTGATTACATGACATCACTGTCTTATAAAACGATCATTTATCGATATTAGTGAATCGAATAAGAGTCGTTTACCTTCTAAACTGTTCCTTGCTCAATTTCTGCGTCTCGTGCGAGACACCCTCGTGGCCCCCGCTTTTTAGGTGTTCTTTCCGCAAATTGTCCGAAAATTCTTGAAGTCTGGGATCGTCGTTTCGTAAACCGGTCGTCCTCAAAGCCTTGCGTGGAAAGAAAACAATGTAGAGCGACAAGTAGAACGGTAGACCGTAATCTTGACCAAGCTATCTCAGTAAATTATCAGAGGTGAAATGATATAGTTATTTAGGTACTTACGGCCAGGAATTTGCCGACTGGTAAAAGACCAGTTTCTTCGTTTTTGAACATGTCGAACAGCACATCCTCCACGTTCGTCGCCTGGTCCTGGTCTCTGGTACTGAAACGATTTCAACAATTGGTTAGCAAATACTCTTTTAAAATTGTTAACCACTCGTCTAATCAACACACGAGTGAACGCTAATGTACAGAACTATCACACGCAGGCTATCATGCTACACAAGCTGATCAAGCTGCAACAATGAAAAGAATTAACCACCTTACACGACCAATTACTTCCCTAACTTGCGAACGAAACGGACATTTTTTTCCATCATGGATGATACGATTTCCAAAGACCCTCGAGACCGAGTCGATGACATTTCACCTTTTTCGTGTCTCCTTTTCAAGTAGATTCTCAAGATCACCTCTTAACTTTTTTACGTATAACTTTATGATTTTTTATCATTCATCTTATACAAAATTCCATGCAACGTGTAAGTTATGTGGGAGGAATTAGGTTGACTAATGAATGAGCCCCTTTCTTATTTAACAATATAACGTATATATTTTAACCCTTTGCGGTCGTATGTCTACTCTCAGCCACCACAGCAAGGAACTATACGAATCGTATACTGTATGCATTCATGTATCAGTTTACACTTTTCCTATACGAACCTCAATGCCTAAAGGACCTATTCACGAACCAATACGGTGGTCCATCGATTGGAGATAACGTAATCTAATGTACACAAAAGTTGTAACTCAGCGCTCGCCATGCAAGACGCAGTGGCGAGTCAGTCGTCTTTTGAACGTAGTGAAATCGACAACGTTCGACGATACCTTGTAGAATTCCAAAGAATATTTTATAAATTGTATTTAACAGTAATTAGACATTCTCTCTTCTTAAAATATTCCAAAATAATTCCCCAAAATGGCAAAAAGAAAGTTACCGCAAGAAGTGTTCAGTGAAACTGACAAGAGAGAGTGTTTTGAAAAATATCACACGAAGGAGAATTATAAAACATAATTTTTATACAAAAACATATCGCAAGATGAGTGTATTGAATAAAGATATATAGTAAAGTTCACAAAAGAATTACTAAATCTTGTTTATACATCGTAAACTTGCGTGTTATGTATCCCTGCTCTATCGACGGAAATTAATTCCGACCGGTACGATACCCATCTCCAAATTTAATCCGACCGCAAAGGGTTAATAGAATTCTCACCACGTGCGCATCACGCTCTCTTCCATACAAGGGACTTCACGCGCCGTCACTCTCGCGCACCAGTGCTGCCAACACCCATTCTCAGGCATACCACTCAATAAAAATAACCCCACAAGTTACTCTAATACGCAGAATATTAGGAAAAAATCGGTTTTTATTTACTACCTGGTTCGTCGATCAAAAAATCTGAAAATCTGAAATGTCTTTGAATTTTTTTACTCAATGGGTGAAGAGAAATTGTACAAAAACATGATTTTCGTTTTCACCCTATTGCTACCCCCACGGTCGAGATTTCAAGTTAAAAATAAGCACAAATATTCCCTCTCATGAATAACTACATAATACACATTACTCATAAATTACACATTCAGATTACCAACCATTGCCTTTTCCAAACTACTTACTCACTCGATAAGTCTCGAGTAATTTACAAAATATAAACGAAATTAATTACATGCTTTATATTTGTGCTTGAAATATTAATACCGCTGTTCAAGTATTTTTATAAATTTTCCCTGTCTATTTACCAATTTCGTCTAGATGATCGCCCGTTAAAAATTTCTATCGGCGTTGCTTCATGCAATATAATCGATAACAACGTCGCATAGTACTCACTACATATAATGGCTGTCATGAATGAAGCTGTAGTCGCTGTAAAAACACAACGAAAAGTATATAAATTCGCGAGAAAATCGGATTAATTACCTAAGGAATCGCGCCAGCATCCTTTTCGACTTGTAACCTTTCTTTTCTAGCCAAATCGAGCACGCGATCTTTGATCTGATCGAGTATTCCGAGGAAACGTCCGCCGGGACTAATTCCATGTTCTCCGTTGAAACATTCTTGCTTATGCGAGGCACAACGATGATTTCGTCCTTTGCTTTCATCGTCGACTATCGAACAGACTTACAGTTTCTTTCTTCTTTGAAGATAAACTAGTGAAAATCTACCGGTCTCGGTAAAACAGAATTTCGAACGTTTTTTAATAACTGATAGTCAAGATTTCAACTATACTTCTTGCACTCACGAAAAATACGTTACATAAATCGCGTCACTTTGCTCTCGAATCGATGTTTTCGATTAACTCGCGCATCTCGTTTTCAGAAAAAGTTACTCGATAGTTTAAGCACTTAGGAGATGATCGATAATCTTAAACATGTTTTTAGACGATCTATGCTGGCGTTTCCTCGCGATTCTATGTGTGTAAAATCAACGAAGAACGTGTCTTTATATTGGTTGCAACACATCAACCACGACCCCCCTTAGAGAATAAAAGCTAAAAATGGCGTAGGTGTCAACAAGTAATTAGCAGTTTGTGCAGAATACAATTCTTTCCGGTGATCTTTAATATTTCTGGCGATGAACGCTTTCGTTAATTGAAAATCTCAAGAAACGTTGCTGGTGGTTTCATTGCATAACTAAGGACAAACTATAACAGGCTGTGTGTAACCTATTTGTCACTGTACCATCTAATCTTCCTAATTCTTCTAAAACGTATGCATTTTATCATCCTGTCTTTCTCAGTTTCCGCCAAGTCAGATAACAATCTTCAACTTAAAAAATCAACCTTACATACTTGTTTCTTTTCTTCAGATTTGAATACGATTATTTTTAAATCAATAGGCAATAATTATTTTGTTGAAAATCAATTAAGTTCTTCATATTTTAAAAGATATTCATTAAACTAAATAATACTCCTAGTTGGTCGAGGGAGACATTTTTCGAAAATATCTCGAGATCTAATAATTTTTTTGCCATGGTACCCTAATCATTTTTTACGTAGAATGAACGGAAGAATCGATCTGTGTAAAGAAAAATATGCATTTCTGTTTAAAGAAACGATGCGATCGTTAATTGCACATGCACCGCTGCGTCTAAAAAAAATTTTAATGCCTACGGATGTAGTGTCCTTCGAACCATTTATCTTTCTCCTTTTGGCATTTTTTCGTAAATGAAATAATAACGGAGTTATGGTTTGAGACAATTGCGTTGTCGAACGTGCGATTTACGTACAACATTACATAGGTGCACAGCTATGGCTCGACAAACGATTAGATGCAATTAGAGTAACGTGTGCCCGAGAACGACAGCAATAAACAAACGATATTTCTTCTTCTCAAATACCTGTCGAAGAAAGACACCAAAAAATTCCGCAGAAAATGTAAGAATCTCTTGGTTGCAATTAGTTGAGTGGATTTACATGGAATATCGACGGATCGAATATATTAAATATCGTTTTGTATGAAATATTAACTCACGGTTAAACTTAACTAAAGTTAAGCTATATGATTAATATTATATAGTATTATAAGTTAATCTCACCGAGGCCAGAATTTATAAAAATCATCGACGTCGTCCATGTAATGCCCAGAGAAATCGAAACTGTCCATTGTTCGCTGCTCGATAGTTAAGAGAACTCGATCAAACACTAATCGTCCATGACTTTAAAACAAATATTTCAGCTCAATTTCTTCGTCTATTTCGACACGAGAGACTATTCCTCCTGAACGCGCGATCCTCTCGATAGAACCTCCGTTTCGTGATCGAGCAAAGTTATGGTGAACAAAGGGGCATCATCTTTCAGAACGTATTTAAATGCGGAGTGGCGTCGTTGAGACAATAAATCGCGATGCTTGGGGTCGGATCTATGAAGATCGACGGTTCTCATCGGCAAATACAAAGAAGACATTGATGTAATGATTCTTTGATCAAAGAAATCATTAATATATACGAATTCTGGTTAAATCTTTAAATCTTCTGCGGTAAATGAATGTAGACGAAATTGTAACCCGGATCTCCAACCATTCGGGAAAGCATTAAATAAATATATAAGTACACAAGATAAATGCTAGGTTTAAAATGATTCATTACTCGCGTGACAAAAAAATTACACAGATTTTTATCATTACATATATAATTTAATCTTATTATCATGTTCACATCAAAATGTCTCTTAAGTTTGTGTTTATCGAAATTCACCGTTCAAATTATATCCCCTCATAAGTACTCACCAATGATTATCTTATATAATTTTTTCTAGAAATATAATTTGGGTTATAAAATATTAACGGAGAATCGAGGAGTAATCGAGCTTTTTTTTTATGCGACAATCATTTGAAAGTTGTGCGAATAGGAACGATTGAGAACCGTCTGTATCGAGGATATCGGATTTATTGGTTCTTCATTGTGTTCCACCAAATGCACGTAATCTATTTCTTCATTGTTACGATGTACCTCGGCTAAGAAGAACACGATAAATGATTAGCCTTATTTTAAATATGCAACGCAGACGATCGCAACGTTCCGTGTAAGCAATTGGTCTATTGTATCGCGAAAGATCAACTAGAGCGGCGAACTTGTCCATTTATTGCCTGAATTATGCAATCGTGATTTCTGTAGAGGCTCTTAAGCTTGCAACTTTATTTTCCGTATTCGAGAATCAATTTACGACTCGTTAAAGACGTGTAATTTGTAGAAAAAGGTGTGCTCGTCAGCCTCGCGTACAACTTGAATGAAACTTATTTTTACTTTCTCCAGTCAAAACGTTCAAATAATAAAAGACACAAATTTTAAAACACTTGTTGTCCATCGTTATACAGTGAGTGTAAAAAGTATTCGTACGCTAGTCAATTTGAACAAAAACTTTGCGGAACTTGCGTGTCCAGAAATTTGAAGGGTGAACCCCCGAGTGTCAGTTCGATATTGTACTCTGGCTCGACGAGGCAGGGTATCGCGAACGAAAAGAGATAAATTAGGGGCACGAGGATGCTGAAGATCGTTAAAGCTAGCACGGACGGGCTCAGAAGGCTGCACAGGAGCAATAAGGTAAGAGGAACGTGGTTCAATTATTGATCCGTGATACGTATTACTTGATAACTTTACTTTCGGGAGTCCGGTATTCGGGATAAGAGTTTCTACAGTTCCATGTGATGGATGTTCGACAATCGTTAAGTCAAAACCTACATGCGTATCCGCGTGTCAAGTATCCTTGCTGATAACTAGACTGCGGATGTTTATGCATTTATGGGAAATTTTAATCCTCAAAAAACTACAGAATGCATTTAATATGCAAAAATATAAGAAATATTTAAAGTAAGATACGAATTATTATATTTAGGGATTGAGTCAGCCCTCTGTGAAGCTTCCGTTTCATTAATTTTATTAATAAAAATGTGAATTTGCACAAAGATCCCATAGTCTACTGATAACACTGGGTGCTTTCTCGAATTTTATTCTTGATAGTAATGCTTGAAAATTAAACGCTCTGCTGGACACAGGACATTAGAAAGAGATTAGTCAAGGTGACTATCTATCTACAGAGTAATTGAACATGCCTTAGCGATCGGATTAAAGTCTTTCTTTAATATTGAGAAAACAAAATGCATTGCACGATATTTGTTTACTTTATGGGATAGTATTAACATTCTTTTGAAAACAATGCAAAATGAGCATGACGAGCAAGATTTCAGTGAGTGTAAAAAGTATTCGTACGCTAGTCAATTTGAACAAAAACTTTGCGGAACTTCGTTTGTTACAAAAGTATGTTAACAAAAACATGCGTACATATTCTTAGAAATCTCTGGAACAAATCTCATTAACAACAAATTATTTATTTATATTTGTTATGAAAATATTAACAAATTTTCAGAAATTGACCTAAAATATACGCGTAATAAGTATTCGTACACTTCTAATTTTACAACAAAAACTATAAATTTTAGTACATGAACGTAACAAAAATCAGTCCATTTGCTATTTTAGTATCTAGTGGGATTTCCTTTAGATTCTATAATCGCTTTAAGCCTTTGCGGCATTGAATTTACTAAATTTTTGGTTATAGTACTAGAAATTTTGTTCCATTCCTCTAAAATTGCATTTTTTAAATCTTGTTTCGAAGAAATGTCATGGTCTCAAATTTTTTCTTCAAGATGACTCCATAAGTTCTGCAAAGGTTTTGTTCAAATTGACTAGTGTACGAATACTTTTTACACTCACTGTATTTGCTCTTTCGAACTAAGTAATATTAATTATTTTAAACGTCACTTTAAAACTAGAAAATATATTTTAGTTACATAATTGTACAATTTGAGGCGAAAAAATCAATTGAAAAAAAAAAATGTTCTCTTGCATACATTTAAAATTACATGTTTCTTTAAAATACCAATTGTAACAATGGAATAGAAATAAGAATTTCACTGAGATTTTAAATATTCAGATTCTATCGTTGTTGTGCCTCGCATAATTTACAAATTATTCGGAACTTTCATAATTCATTCTTATGGTTCTCTTCTTACAGTCGTAGACTGATGCCAGCCAGATTCACGAGATCAATGATTCAGATCTTTAGATTCAGGTCTTACACCGAGCTGATCACATATTTAATTATTACAAAAAGTGATCAACAAACGATGATGTAAGTGAAAATCAATTTTTACAGATTAATCGGAACAGAAAACAATTTTTTCCCGTATTTTATTACCTGATAAAATAGACACTCTGTAAAAAAATCAAGGAAAAAAATAATGATTCTTGGTTCCGAGTTTCGCGAATCTAAAAATCAGGTTTCGACTCTAATAAAAATTTAAAAAAAGTGGCCGAATAATAAGCGACCATAGGGGAAGAAAAGAGTTCGTTACCGTGTCTGCGTGCATTCTAATTCTAAGGCACTTCCAAAAGCGGCGTCCAAGTATTTCAAAGTTCCGAGTTTCTTCGACGCTGGTGCCGCAGCTCGTCTCTGCAATCAATCAATTACATCGTAACAATCAGAATCCCTTCAAAAAACGCTATTATATTCTATACAGGGTGCTAACTAAAAATCAAATTAAAAGGATATTCTCATAATATAGCTCTGAAAGTAATTGATATTTAAGAGATTTTTTAAAGAAACTGATAGTTCGATCGAAAATTTATACAGGTAGAAAGAGACATCCTTAAATTATAGAAAACAATTTTTTATCACGATTCATTTTATAAAATGAATGTAAAATTAATTATATTGGTATTGAACCTGTTTCCAAAGTAAAGAAATGGAAAATTCTAAAGTTTCCAATGTTCGAAAGAGAAATTAACATTTTATATCGACGAAGAAAATATAAATAGAAACTAATAAAACAATTTTAGCTTCGTTCGTCATTTCGTACTGTAACACAGCATTTTTTTATTTTTGCAAATTTTGGAAGTTTGTCCTTTTGATATTATACTTTTCATAATTTACCCCTTCGAACCAAATAATATTTTTCTTTGACGTTTTTTCCTATCATGCACGATAAATGAGATAGTTGAGATGTTAAAATTAGACGAAACATCCTGTATGTATAATATGTATATCGTAATACCATTTCAATAACATAATACATAGACTACGTAATGTTCAGTTAAATAACAAAACTGGAACACATTTATTTTTAGTACTAATATTTTAGAAATTCCAGAAATCAAATAGTTTCGCTTAAAAGAAAAAAGTGCAATTGCATATTGCAAGTATATCGATCACGGGATAATAGTGATCATTAAACGGTATAAAATTTTCTTGTACATCATAGAACAGAGCCATAGGTTGGTCCAGTTAGTAGAGTCACCCTTATTATCATTCGATCGTCTTGATGTGCTAAATTTAGCGGAATTCGTAGTTGCCAAACAGGCCAACGAGGAAGTTTAACTCCAAACATCGGACAATTTGAAATATATCAATGTGTTTGTGTCCCAAGATTAAAATTTTTGTTTAAAAAACTGAAAAATCACGAGTGAAAGAGTCAGG